GAGGCTACTGATAAATTGTGTATAAGAACCATAACTAGCCAGACTTGTGATACTATGTATGTAACACCCAGCAGGAAGTATATGGACACCCCTGTGAGATGCTAACATTGAGTCTGTGAGGGTAGCCTGGTATAAGATTGGGTAGAGTAAGACCTGGTGTGACTCTATCAGGAACTAGAAGCTTGGGGGCTCCATATCTAGATACATCTACACAAGAAGCAGCCATATATACTGGTTGTACAGCTGTCTCCGTTCACATCTCGACTGGCTTTAGGAGCAGTGATATTATACTGCATCTCTCCCTACATTTGTGAGGACGGATCTTAGGGGTCTCTAAGGGCCAGTTTGTTTTTCCTACCATTGTGTGGTACTTTCAGTACCAACTGGATGTCCATTGTCATCAGACCCTAAGCATTCTACCATTGTTGTCGTGTAACCTGGCCACAGATGGAGGACAATTTGTCAGCTGTGTGAGATTTTGTGATTTCTTGTGATATTGGTTTATTGAAAAAATTGTATGTGACAGTTGGCTGTCGTAGAGGTCTACTTGGACCTACATCATTGTTGTTCTCCAACTGTTTAAACACTGTGTGTAGCTCAGGACTGGAAGAAGACAAGTAAGGCTAGTAGACAGTGAGGGAGGTGGACAAGGAAAGCCAAGGATAGGTTTGATAAATGTCAAACTGTGTTTAATTCTTTGGTACATTCGTTTGATTACGTTGGGTCAGTTGACTAGCTATTGACACAACAGTTAAAGGCTTGAGGTATTTCCAGGAGGAGCTTTCCTGATTGTGAAGTGTTTTATACATTATATAAGTTAAAAGTGATCCTTGACCATTAGTTCAGACTGACCTGTGGCCTTGGGCCCCAGCTAAGTCATTTCCACTGACCACACTACCTGGAGAAACTGACTGGGATGTAATACACAGATCACGGTGGTGTGTCTTTATACCCAGTGTTACATGATGTATACATACTACCCTAGGCCAGCCAATCACCTAACTACCTGTAATTAGCTACTAAGGCTGGCAATGATATTGACCAGGATCTGTAAATAGATGTGTGTACACATGGTCCACTGGTCAGTAACCCAATACACATGGTCCTAGGTCCACCGGGCAGCCTGCAGAACCTAAACATGCCCACCAAGCAGAGATACTCCCTTTTTGCCTGTACCCGGCCCATGGAGGATTTCATGCCCATTGGCCACAGAGTCTGGGGTAGGTACAGTACATCTGTGGTCAGCTATGTGTATGTTTTACCTACAATGTCATTTCATCAGTTACTACTACAATGTTTACAGATGCACACAATGTTTACAAGTAGATTTGATTACAATGGCCACATGGCCAAATATACAGGTGTATTATTACAACAAAGGTACATTGTAGTCTGTACCTGTCTTAGTGTGAACTTTTAACCTACTTCTACCGGGACAGGTGTAAATGACCAGGTGTGAATTCATTACGTATCTGATCATTATAAGGCCTTTGGGCAGCTATCTGGGTAGCATGTATATACCTGGTATCATTTCACCTGTACAGGAACTTTATCCAGATGTTGATTTATACAATGATACATAAAATGGTGGTGCACAGTGAAACTTGTCTAATCTGACCCCTGAGTATTAGAACATCCTGTCTAATACAATATTGCTGTAATATCATTTGTGTCAAAACAAATCACTGTTATTAGATATGACAGGTTTTACTGTACAGACTCTTTGTTAGGGTAATTTGATTTCCAAAAGGTTGTTGACATAATTTGAACAGGATATTGTTTTACACATGTAACACAAGTAAGGAAAAACATAATACAGCTTTGAAAATGTAACGTGTGACAGCAGCTCTAAATCATGTCGTTAAGTATAGCAGGTGGGCAAATGCATATTACCGGTACACAAAATACAAAAAATGTGTACATGTACTGTTGTAGTAGTGGATAACGGCTTACAGGTGGGCTGATTGGCTCGTTACAGGTGAGCAGATGTGTGTAACACTTGACTGATGTATCGAGAGCTGCATCCTTGTGAAGATGTACCACTTAAATTAGGCCCTGTTGGATGAGATGGCACTAAAATGTTACAAACATGTAATGGATTTGTTCCCAAGGCTCTATCATACTGGTACCCTCAGTAGTGAAGCCTGTGCATCTCTTCCTTAAGCTAGTGTATACGTACTACGAATGTACTCTTCAGCCCTCATATACTGGTACCCACATTGAAGTTTATATATATCTATATACCTTGTGCACTTCACATCAACATTCCCCCGAAACCCCTAGATGAGGGTTTTGACCCCGAAAACAGTTGGTTGTATCCCCATTTTCCATGGACTGTTCTATTTACTATGGACCGGGGTGGGGGTACAGAATCTTGAAAATCTATCAAATATCATATACCCCTGAATGGGAAACACTAGTACTATGCTCTCAATCTTAGAATACTCCTTATACCCACTTGTGTACCTTAGTTGCGTCAGCACCTCACATATACATGTATCCATAGACTGCCCCACCCCCATCTCTAGAATATTGAATTATTTAGAAAACAATAACTCTAATCATTTTGATCACTTGGATGTCTGATTCTAAGTTCTAAACTAGGAGAGATAAGCTGGTAATGCAATACAGTTGAGAAATTCTTAATAAAAATTAGGGGTTGGTGGCCATACAGTCTAATGTCTCCAGTATATGAGACTTGTATCTCAGTACCATCGTACTGTACAATATTCTGTATCCCCAACATCTGTACCATATTGGTTGAATTGTCAGTTGACCTTGACTCAGTTTAAGGTTAATGAACTTTTGTAGATGTTGGTAACAGATTCCTTTATAACGAGCCGGTTAATTAACCCCATCACACATATTGAACATAAAAGAATCGGTGATAGAGGTGATCGGTCGTTATATTATGAGGTTTTCCTACTTGGTAGATATCTCTAAGCGAGGCTGCATGAAATTATCATCATTAACAATATTCAGATCTTGGTGTTTATGTTAACAATTTGTTCCGTGAACTTTACCTGAGGTAGTTAAAAAGTAACAAAGACAAAGCGGCTGTATGCCTCTACCCCAAGGTCTAAAGCTATACGTACTTCTGTATCAGCCCCCCTCCCAGGTCTAGAGTTTCCCCCGTATATAAAGGTTTATTATCGTGGTGACTCACCGTAGGAAAGCATTTTGGTGTTTGTTAATATCTGTACACTATAACTAATTCAAGGCAAATTTCAAATTAAAAAAACAAGTTTTTCTGGCATGCACAGTTTTGCAGAGTACCTAACCTGCCTTTACTCAGGTGTTGAGACTTAACCACTTCCCTCGTCTACATCCCTGTCAAGTTAAATTCAGGGCTTCACATGTTGAAGTTTCACACAGGTTCTCTCTGTGAGAGGTGCTGGGCAAATTTCACGCGTAAAATACCAATTGTTTTTCCTCAATTGGATCTCTGGCTATTAGAACAAAAGAGGATAACAACATATTGGGTCAGGGAAGACTGGGGTTGCCCAGAAGTTGGCCGGCCTCTTGTTAGGGGTCAGTCTCTATCCATTTTACGATTGTGATGCTTCTGTTGTTTTCTCCTGATTATGACGTCTGTGTTGAATGGTGGAGCTGTTCCAGTTTTTGAAGATTCCTGATGTCGTAATCTCGGAGCGCCTGTTGCGAAAGAGTTGGGACTGGGGGGGGCGAAAATAGAAAGTTCTATCTCAAGTTTTAAAAAACAAATTTAAAAACAGCATAAAAGTGTATGGTGAGGAGCAAGGAGGATGTGTACGATTACTGTACTTAGGGCTGTGTGGAGACCAAGGGAACTGGACAGAGGTTCCCGACTGTGTAAGGAAAATTAATCTAAGTATTCTCAGTAGTGGTAGATGGGGACAGAGCCTCAGCTACAGTTAGGAATTATACAGCTGGTAGGTGTGTCAAGAGAATAGTTTACACCAGATTGGGATTATTGAATGTATCAATGGGAATATTTTCTACTTCTGTTGTAAGATGTCTATGAAGAAGGTGAGGTCAGTAAACCATGTTACACTGTAGCATGTACTGTCCATTAGGATTAAAATAATAGCTTTGTTAGAAAGAATGTGAAATTTGTAAGTTTTGAATTCAGTTAGGGTTAATATCTTTTGTAGCAAAGTGTGAGTTTTAACGTAGGTTTTCTATACCTAAACTGAATGGGATGTCTTCAGCTTTGACCCATTGCTTATTTTGACCTCATCCTGCTGTGTTTCCTCTCCGGCCACGCTTTCCTGGTCCTGTCACATTACATTGTTTCTGACCATTAACGGCCATGTCCAGCGAGAGGAACACAAGAACAGTTGACTAGGCGTTGGCTCAGTGAAGAATATATGTTTTGCGTTACAGGATCATTTGGAACACTTTCCTACAGTGACACAAAGTGGGATTATCTGGAATAGTTTCCTGCTTTTATATCCGTAGTGGGATAATCTCATTCCTGGATATTTTCCTGCTACTTTTGCCTTTTATTGAGCTATTTTTTCTACCTATTTGTGACCTAGTGGAATAATTTAGGAAATTTTCATCTGTTTGTATGATCTGCTTTCCCGATTGATATGAGAAAAGGTGTTTTATACCGTCTGTGTACTGTTGGTGTTAGGTTTGTGTGTAGTTGTGATAGTCAAATGTTGTAGATCTATATTTAGTGAAATGGCCACCACATGATACACTTGACGTAACCAAAGTAAGGGATAATTCAATTTTGTACACCATTTCATCTCTATTGTAGGAGTTAAAATCGTTCACATAACTATCTTCTTACATGGATGAGTTTCACTAAACAGCATGAGTGGTAATGGTTTCATGACTGGAGAGCTCGGTGGATGGTGTATCGATCCCTCCCCAGTCCCTCTGCTACACTGATCTGATTAATTACAGCCTAAAATTGTCTCATTGTCATTTTCCTTAGTAAACAAAATATAAATTTCCTCGAAAGGAATTTAGATTTGTTATTTAATTGCTGATGTCTTCTGTATTTTCAGATATTCGTAACCAGTTGAACGAACAGTTAAGATGCCTAGAAAACAGATTAGAAATTCAAGTTGCCATGGTGACAGAGATACAAGATTTTTTCCGGAAAAAGGCTGAGGTAGAAATGGAATATTCCAGGAGTCTGGATAAACTTGTCAAATCGACCAAGTTCCGACACAAGCAGGAGAAACAGAAGTAAGTTAACATGCACTATTTCGGATTAGTCTGCAGCTGAGAATTCCTTTCAAACATCGTTTAATTTGTACTCACACTCAGTGAGCATCATGAGTAAGTAGCCATTGGTCACCGCGACTCCAATTACTCACTTAGTCACTCATGATAGAACAACCAATGTCACAAAACAACCAAGGTTAAAGGTCATAAGAAAAGAACAATCAAGGTTTATTGACAAAACAACTAAAGGAACAGGTCTTCACAGAACAAGGTCAACAAGGTCATTACTGCATATCAATAAATGACTGCACACATTACAGAACAATTGAATCTGAGGTCACGACAGAAAAAAAATAAGGTCAAGGTGATGACAGAACATAAAATCTTACCATTGAAACCCTACACACATGACATCAGCGAAGGTCAAGGTAATCTATTATAACATCCAGTGGAACATATTGAACCCCTACACCCATGACATGAGCGAAGGTCAAGATAATCTTTTATAACATCAGAGGAACATATTATTGAAGGTCAAGGTAATCTTTTATAACATCCAGAGGACATATTGAAACCCTACACACATGACATCAGCGAAGGTCAAGGTAATCTTTTATAACATCCAGAGGAACATATTATTGAAGGTCAAGGTAGGAAGTATATTATTCTATACATCTGTCTGGATGAATCATCTACTGCGGTAAGTATGTTGTACTGGTCTGTGCATACAATTTAGTGGAACAATCAATAAAATCTTTGTCCAGACATTACCAAATGCTCATAGTAGGGTATGGTTTGAATACCTTCAATTTACATCTGTGATATGTTTACTGATGTGCTGTCTGGTGCCAAAACTGTCTGCTTTCTGTGCAGGACAGATTTAGGTAGATATAGACCAGCAGTACAGATAGGGTTTGTATATAGGGTCCTGTGTATTATTGATAGAATGTCTGTAGGGTATGTATATATGTATGACAGATATTATACATGATATAGATAGTGTCAGCACCATGGCAGTCCCCACCCGCCACAATCTCATTGGGACCGCAACATTATGATTGCTCACTACCTATCAAGAAAAGGTTTCTTAACAAAATTGCACAACTAACATTCCTTTTGACAAAGGGCAGGGATAGTACTATTCCACTATCCCAGTGCATGGAGCTTGTAAATTTGATGTCACTGGTCTTGTGAAAATTTTCAGTCTTTGATACCAGATTATATGCCCCAGCTTGTATAATCTTAACAAAATCTTTTTGTGGGCTTGTACTCTAGATATGAAATTGTACTTCCCTAAAGGATGCTGATTTTGTGATCTGTTCATATTGTATTGTTTGTTGGATATACCTGGCAATATTATGAAATGTTATATTCATAATGTGTATTAAAGACACTCATACGGACAGATGTTCTAGTTTGTTGGTTGTTGGTTGTTGGAGCTTAATTGACAGTCTGGCAGTCATTGCCCCATACGGTCACCTGTAGTGATGGTGTCACAGAAAATATGACCAATCCAAATGTAAATGGTCATTAGTGATAATTACAGCTCGTTCCGTCACAGAGAATAAAATATTGATGCATGCAACAACACTCCAAATTTAGAATTCATGTGTTCAGCTCCACTCCTCATTTGAATGTGAAAAGTAGTAAATTATTAATTGTTGAAAGCACTACGTGACCTTTGACAGAAGGAAGCTGGTCTTTCATGTTTGCCTGCCTGTGGTTGTGTCTGACTGATAAAGAGGGGGAGTTGGCAGACTGTGTATTCATGAATATTTGAGGTGATAGTAGAGGGTGATTGGGGGGATGGGGGGGGGGAGCTGTTCTTTCAATCCTGAGCTATTTGAAGTGTGGATATTTTGTCGAGAAATTCCTTCTACCAAGGGAAACTGTAGAATTGTGGAGCTCAATGCCAGGCTCCATAGATCAATGGCCTAACTGGCAGGGTGCAAAATACATAATCAATTCATAGCCATCCTCAGCTGGCTTCTCTACACATGTGAATCTCACCAAAAAATGGCTGTTTAGTAAAACAGCCACAAAGCCATTATCACATAATATCCACCAAACCAATAGTCCTCTCTATAGTCTGGTACTGTTACAACCCTGTCAGGCCATAACTCTGTCGGGAGGAATCAGCTGTGATCCTTCCTCAAAGACAAAGGTGATGTTCTGACCACAGTCTTTGTGCCTACTGAATCCAGTGGTGTAAAGGATAAATAAAAGAGTCTTACTTCCTAGAACATTAGCATTAAAGCTTGTTTTATGACCTAGTCCTTGCATTTTGATTTCATCTTGATTCATCAAGCAAAGTTGGTCAAGATGACCTATATCTGTGTGAAGTAATGATATTTATTCATAGAAAATGTATGTTTAATATTGGATATCAAGGAGTTGAGCAGCAGAAGAGGTCTTTCTAAGCACGGCCTGGAACCTCGTTAAGCTGGACACTGATTGCTTGAACTCGTACCAAATTTTGAAAGTATATCATCAAAATGTGGACATAAGTCTTTATCATACTTCTACATCTCTGTCTATATTCCCACTGCCTTTGTAATCTGTCTATTTGTTTGGCTGGTTTCCATGGAGATCAGACTTGATATAGAGGCTGAGGGGTGCTGGCCTTTAACCCTTCACACAGGAAGTGCCCTAGATAACAATGACTAGTTATCATGTGCAGCATTGTACCCTTAGTGCTTCCTGGACATTCTGTCTACCTGTTATAAGATAAAAGTCTGTATCTTTGAGTGTGTGTCCAACAATACAGATAGATCTTACTTTGAGTTGTATTTACTTTTGGAAGAAATTATGATATTGTTTTTAACTGCCAATGGAATCAATGAAGTGGAAAGCGACCATGTTTTCTTGGTTACGTTGCCATCCTTCCAATCTGTCTGTCCTGTTCTTCACCTCAAGGTTGTTGTCACAGTTACAGGTCAATATCAAAGTAGCTGCATCTGATTCATATGCAGTTACTGCCTTTGAACAATAGAAATATTTGTGCATCAGAAGTAATTTATCGGGTACCACTTTTAGGATCTGTATCTGGGGGTCAAGGACACAATATTGTTATGTTTGTTGACCCTGATTTGGTCCTAACATATACCTATATGTTCACCACAGTGAGCTGTGTGTACACCTATATGTTCCCCACAGTGAGCTGTGTGTACCCCTATATCTCCAACACAGTGAGCTTTGTGTACACCTATATCTTCACCACAGTGAGCTGTGTGTACACCTATATCTCCAACACAGTGAGCTGTGTGTACACCTAAATCTCCAACACAGTGAGCTTTGTGTACACCTATATCTTCACCACAGTGAGCTGTGTGTACACCTAAATCTCCAACACAGTGAGCTGTGTGTACACCTATATCTCCAACACAGTGAGCTGTGTGTGTACACATGTATCTCCACTACAGTGAGCTGTGTGTACACCTGTATCTTCACCACAGTGAGCTGTGTGTACACCTAAATCTCCACAACAGTGAGCTGTGTGTACACCTAAATCTCCAACACAGTGAGCGGTGTGTACACCTATATCTTCACAACAGTGAGCTGTGTGTCCTCCTAAATCTCCAACACAGTGAGCTGTGTGGGTACACCTATATCTCCAACACAGGGAGCTGTGTGTGTACACCTATATCTCCAAGACAGTGAGCTGTGTGTGTACACATGTTTCTCCACTACAGTGAGCTGTGTGGGAACACCTGTATCTTCACCACAGTGAGCTGTGTGTACACCTATATCTCCAACACAGTGAGCTGTGTGTGTACACCTATATCTCCAACACAGTGAGCTGTGTGTGTACGGATGTATCTCCACCACAGTGAGCTATGTGTGTACACATGTATCGCCACCACAATGAGCTGTGTGTACACCTATATCTCCACCACAGTGCGCTGTGTGTGTACACATGTATCTCCACCACAAGGAGCTGTGTGTACACCTATATCTCCACCACAGTGTGCTGTGTGTGTACACATGTATCTCCACCATAATGAGCTGTGTGTACACCTATATCTCCACCACAGTGAGCTGTGTGTGTACTCATGTATCTCCACCACAATGAGCTGTGTGTACACCTATATCTCCACCACAGTGTGCTGTGTGTGTACACATGTATCGCCACCACAATGAGCCGTGTGTGTACACATGTATCTCCACCACAGTGAGCTGTGTGTGTACACATGTATCTCCACCACAATGAGCTGTGCGTACACCTATATCTCCACCACAGTGAGCTGTGTGTGTACACATGAATCTCCACCACAATGAGCTGTGTGTACACCTATATCTCCACCACAGTGAGCTGTGTGTGTACGGATGTATCTCCACCACAGTGAGCTGTGTGTGTACACATGTATCGCCACCACAATGAGCTGTGTGTACACCTATATCTCCACCACAGTGAGCTGTGTGTGTACGGATGTATCTCCACCACAGTGAGCTGTGTGTGTACACATGTATCTCCACCACAATGAGCTGTGTTTACACCTATATCTCCACCACAGTGAGCTGTGTGTGTACACCTGTATCTTCACCACATACAAAGATACCATAATTTCATTTTGTTTCCGGTTTTAGACAAACAAAAAACAGGAAAATGTAGAACCATGACATCGCTCAAACAAAAATGGAATACAAAGCAAGTTCAGAATATTATTACTATAATAGAAAAGATCATTCTAAATTGATCAGTTCCTTTAATAATGTGTAATTTGTGTTACAGGAGGGAACACTGGTCCATGTTCTCCACTATGTCATGTTGGCAACAGTTACTGGACATCACCAAGAAAGAAAGTCGCGACCACGGAATCATGAGCGAGATATGTAACAACCAGCTTGTCCAGAGAATGGGCCACATCATCGACAACTCACAGAGGATCTACCGCAGGGTATGTATGGCTATGGGGGTGGGGACAGAGGATCTACCGCAGGGTATGTATGGCTATGGGGGTGGGGACAGAGGATCTACCGCAGGGTATATATGGCTATGGGGGTGGGGACAGAGGATCTACCGCAGGGTATATATGGCTATGGGGGTGGGGACAGAGGATCTACCGCAGGGTATATATGGCTATGGGGGTGGGGACAGAGGATCTACCGCAGGGTATATATGGCTATGGGGGTGGGGACAGAGGATCTACCGCAGGGTATATATGGCTATGGGGGTGGGGACAGAGGATCTACCGCAGGGTATATATGGCTATGGGGGTGGGGACAGAGGATCTACCGCAGGGTATGTATGGCTATGGGGGTGGGGACAGAGGATCTACCGCAGGGTATGTATGGCTATGGGGGTGGGGACAGAGGATCTACCGCAGGGTATATATGGCTATGGGGGTGGGGACAGAGGATCTACCGCAGGGTATATATGGCTATGGGGGTGGGGACAGAGGATCTACCGCAGGGTATGTATGGCTATGGGGGTGGGGACAGAGGATCTACCGCAGGGTATATATGGCTATGGGGGTGGGGACAGAGGATCTACCGCAGGGTATATATGGCTATGGGGGTGGGGACAGAGGATCTACCGCAGGGTATATATGGCTATGGGGGTGGGGACAGAGGATCTACCGCAGGGTATATATGGCTATGGGGGTGGGGACAGAGGATCTACCGCAGGGTATATATGGCTATGGGGGTGGGGACAGAGGATCTACCGCAGGGTATATATGGCTATGGGGGTGGGGACAGAGGATCTACCGCAGGGTATGTATGGCTATGGGGGTGGGGACAGAGGATCTACCGCAGGGTATGTATGGCTATGGGGGTGGGGACAGAGGATCTACCGCAGGGTATATATGGCTATGGGGGTGGGGACAGAGGATCTACCGCAGGGTATATATGGCTATGGGGGTGGGGACAGAGGATCTACCGCAGGGTATGTATGGCTATGGGGGTGGGGACAGAGGATCTACCGCAGGGTATGTATGGCTATGGGGGTGGGGACAGAGGATCTACCGCAGGGTATATATGGCTATGGGGGTGGGGACAGAGGATCTACCGCAGGGTATATATGGCTATGGGGGTGGGGACAGAGGATCTACCGCAGGGTATATATGGCTATGGGGGTGGGGACAGAGGATCTACCGCAGGGTATATATGGCTATGGGGGTGGGGACAGAGGATCTACCGCAGGGTATATATGGCTATGGGGGTGGGGACAGAGGATCTACCGCAGGGTATATATGGCTATGGGGGTGGGGACAGAGGATCTACCGCAGGGTATGTATGGCTATGGGGGTGGGGACAGAGGATCTACCGCAGGGTATGTATGGCTATGGGGGTGGGGACAGAGGATCTACCGCAGGGTATATATGGCTATGGGGGTGGGGACAGAGGATCTACCGCAGGGTATATATGGCTATGGGGGTGGGGACAGAGGATCTACCGCAGGGTATGTATGGCTATGGGGGTGGGGACAGAGGATCTACCGCAGGGTATGTATGGCTATGGGGGTGGGGACAGAGGATCTACCGCAGGGTATATATGGCTATGGGGGTGGGGACAGAGGATCTACCGCAGGGTATATATGGCTATGGGGGTGGGGACAGAGGATCTACCGCAGGGTATATATGGCTATGGGGGTGGGGACAGAGGATCTACCGCAGGGTATATATGGCTATGGGGGTGGGGACAGAGGATCTACCGCAGGGTATATATGGCTATGGGGGTGGGGACAGAGGATCTACCGCAGGGTATATATGGCTATGGGGGTGGGGACAGAGGATCTACCGCAGGGTATGTATGGCTATGGGGGTGGGGACAGAGGATCTACCGCAGGGTATGTATGGCTATGGGGGTGGGGACAGAGGATCTACCGCAGGGTATATATGGCTATGGGGGTGGGGACAGAGGATCTACCGCAGGGTATATATGGCTATGGGGGTGGGGACAGAGGATCTACCGCAGGGTATGTATGGCTATGGGGGTGGGGACAGAGGATCTACCGCAGGGTATGTATGGCTATGGGGGTGGGGACAGAGGATCTACCGCAGGGTATATATGGCTATGGGGGTGGGGACAGAGGATCTACCGCAGGGTATATATGGCTATGGGGGTGGGGACAGAGGATCTACCGCAGGGTATATATGGCTATGGGGGTGGGGACAGAGGATCTACCGCAGGGTATATATGGCTATGGGGGTGGGGACAGAGGATCTACCGCAGGGTATATATGGCTATGGGGGTGGGGACAGAGGATCTACCGCAGGGTATATATGGCTATGGGGGTGGGGACAGAGGATCTACCGCAGGGTATGTATGGCTATGGGGGTGGGGACAGAGGATCTACCGCAGGGTATGTATGGCTATGGGGGTGGGGACAGAGGATCTACCGCAGGGTATATATGGCTATGGGGGTGGGGACAGAGGATCTACCGCAGGGTATATATGGCTATGGGGGTGGGGACAGAGGATCTACCGCAGGGTATGTATGGCTATGGGGGTGGGGACAGAGGATCTACCGCAGGGTATGTATGGCTATGGGGGTGGGGACAGAGGATCTACCGCAGGGTATATATGGCTATGGGGGTGGGGACAGAGGATCTACCGCAGGGTATATATGGCTATGGGGGTGGGGACAGAGGATCTACCGCAGGGTATATATGGCTATGGGGGTGGGGACAGAGGATCTACCGCAGGGTATATATGGCTATGGGGGTGGGGACAGAGGATCTACCGCAGGGTATATATGGCTATGGGGGTGGGGACAGAGGATCTACCGCAGGGTATATATGGCTATGGGGGTGGGGACAGAGGATCTACCGCAGGGTATGTATGGCTATGGGGGTGGGGACAGAGGATCTACCGCAGGGTATGTATGGCTATGGGGGTGGGGACAGAGGATCTACCGCAGGGTATATATGGCTATGGGGGTGGGGACAGAGGATCTACCGCAGGGTATATATGGCTATGGGGGTGGGGACAGAGGATCTACCGCAGGGTATGTATGGCTATGGGGGTGGGGACAGAGGATCTACCGCAGGGTATGTATGGCTATGGGGGTGGGGACAGAGGATCTACCGCAGGGTATATATGGCTATGGGGGTGGGGACAGAGGATCTACCGCAGGGTATATATGGCTATGGGGGTGGGGACAGAGGATCTACCGCAGGGTATATATGGCTATGGGGGTGGGGACAGAGGATCTACCGCAGGGTATATATGGCTATGGGGGTGGGGACAGAGGATCTACCGCAGGGTATATATGGCTATGGGGGTGGGGACAGAGGATCTACCGCAGGGTATATATGGCTATGGGGGTGGGGACAGAGGATCTACCGCAGGGTATGTATGGCTATGGGGGTGGGGACAGAGGATCTACCGCAGGGTATGTATGGCTATGGGGGTGGGGACAGAGGATCTACCGCAGGGTATATATGGCTATGGGGGTGGGGACAGAGGATCTACCGCAGGGTATATATGGCTATGGGGGTGGGGACAGAGGATCTACCGCAGGGTATGTATGGCTATGGGGGTGGGGACAGAGGATCTACCGCAGGGTATGTATGGCTATGGGGGTGGGGACAGAGGATCTACCGCAGGGTATATATGGCTATGGGGGTGGGGACAGAGGATCTACCGCAGGGTATATATGGCTATGGGGGTGGGGACAGAGGATCTACCGCAGGGTATATATGGCTATGGGGGTGGGGACAGAGGATCTACCGCAGGGTATATATGGCTATGGGGGTGGGGACAGAGGATCTACCGCAGGGTATATATGGCTATGGGGGTGGGGACAGAGGATCTACCGCAGGGTATATATGGCTATGGGGGTGGGGACAGAGGATCTACCGCAGGGTATGTATGGCTATGGGGGTGGGGACAGAGGATCTACCGCAGGGTATGTATGGCTATGGGGGTGGGGACAGAGGATCTACCGCAGGGTATATATGGCTATGGGGGTGGGGACAGAGGATCTACCGCAGGGTATATATGGCTATGGGGGTGGGGACAGAGGATCTACCGCAGGGTATGTATGGCTATGGGGGTGGGGACAGAGGATCTACCGCAGGGTATGTATGGCTATGGGGGTGGGGACAGAGGATCTACCGCAGGGTATATATGGCTATGGGGGTGGGGACAGAGGATCTACCGCAGGGTATATATGGCTATGGGGGTGGGGACAGAGGATCTACCGCAGGGTATATATGGCTATGGGGGTGGGGACAGAGGATCTACCGCAGGGTATATATGGCTATGGGGGTGGGGACAGAGGATCTACCGCAGGGTATATATGGCTATGGGGGTGGGGACAGAGGATCTACCGCAGNGGATCAACCACAAGGGTATGTGTGACTGTTTCAGAAGATATATCACAGGGTATTCATTTCTGGAGTCAAAACTTGCACTGTATGTATATATTTGGTTAAGGACAAAGTATTTACCAAAGGGTATGTATGGCCCAAGGGATGGGTGCAGAATCCTTACTACAGGGTATTTATGTCCGAGGTGGGATGGATTAAGGGGTGCTATCGGGCAAGTAAATAGATGGAATGACATTTTAATCTACATGATCTATTACAGTGACATTTTTGGAGGCTGGTGAGGAAAGAATATTAAACAGGTTCATACATTCTGTGATTGAATGAGAAGACACGGGTTAGGGAACTAGGGTGAGGAGACTAGGGTTCCCTAACTAGGGTGAGAAGGGTTAGGGGACTAGGGTGAGGAGAACTAGGGTAAGGGAACTAGGGTGAGGAGAACTAGGGTTAGGGGACTAGGGTGAGGAGAACTAGGGTAAGGGGACTAGGGTGAGGAGAATTAGGGTAAGGGGACTAGGGTGAGGAAATTAGGGTTAGGGGACTAGGGTGAGGAGAACTAGGGTTAGGGGACTAGGGTGAGGAGAACTAGGGTAAGGGGACTAGGGTGAGGAGAACTAGGGTAAGGGGACTAGGGTGAGGAGAATTAGGGTAAGGGGACTAGGGTGAGGAAATTAGGGTTAGGGGACTAGGGTGAGGAGAACTAGGGTTAGGGGACTAGGGTGAGGAGAACTAGGGTAAGGGGACTAGGGTGAGGAGAACTAGGGTAAGGGGACTAGGGTGAGGAGAATTAGGGTTAGGGGACTAGGGTGAGGAGAACTAGGGTAAGGGGACTAGGGTGAGGAGAACTAGGGTAAGGGGACTAGGGTGAGGAGAATTAGGGTAAGGGGACTAGGGTGAGAAGACTTAGGGATAGGGAACCAGGGTCAGGAGACTTAGGGTTAGGGGACTAGGGAGAGGGGACTTAGGGTTAGGGAACTAGGATGAGGAGAATTAAGGTTAGGGGACCAGGGTCAGGAGACTTAGCTATAGGGTTAGGGAACTAGGGTGAGGAGACTTAGGGTTAGGGAACTAGGGTGAGGAGACTGAGGGTTAGGGACGGGTGAGTAGACTTAGGGTTAGGGGACTAGGGTTAGGGGACTAGGGTGAGGAGACTGAGGGTTAGGGGACTAGGGTGAGGAGACTGAGGGTTAGGGGACTAGGGTGAGGAGACTGAGGGTTAGGGACGGGTGAGGAGACTGAGGGTTAGGGACGGGTGAGGAGACTTAGGGCTAGGGGACTAGCAGGTGGATGATGCCACATACAAAAGTTTATAGTGTCAAGGCCATTGAATTGGATGAAGAGTGTGTGAAAATGATGAACACAAAAAAAGAATGACATTTTTGAAAGTCAAATTTGATACGGAAACGGGTGATTATAGTGTGATTATCAGTTAAAAGGGGTGTTACAAAATTTTAAAAGTTAACGTTTCAATAATTGTACTTAAAAACTTTAATTGCTGGAATTTTTCAACTTTTCATGTAAATGTCAGTGACATGAACAAGTAATGCACTAAGCAGATGACCTTGTAGTACTGGGATGCGATGACGACCCTAAAGGGCATGCATTAGATGTACCTGACCCTATACTCTATACAATTTGACCCTATACCAAACGTTAAATATATATAGAAACTGACTGATTGAAAATGAGGTATGTACTGAACTTATTTTTTTTTTAATTTTTTTTCAGTGTCGAGATATTGGTGTGGAAAGTCATGAAGACATAATGAAAACACTTACAGAATTACAAAGTGTGAGTAGACCTGGGTATCTTAGGAATGTCTTAAATGCGTCATACATATTCAAACAAATACATGTTGCACTCTCGTCATCCCCTCATCACCCTCTTATAGACTTATAAAGTGGGAGTAGACCAGGATAGACATTTCTTATGAATGTCTAACATTAATCATATAAATATGATACATACAAGTCACACATCCTTCATTGGAAAGAATTTTTATTTTGAAAAGCTGTGTTAGATTTTGTCACTTGAACACACATAGCCTAATTAAGATGGCATAAGAGCTACAGATATCAGGTTTCAAGTACCAGAGTTGATACAAATTTTGCCCCGTCTAATTGAGTAGGCAGACAAACCTGTGGCTCGGGAGTTTTGACAATTTTAAAACATGCATTTGAAGTAGAAGGATACATGCTTTTGAAGTGGAAGCCCTGCGTTTGAAGGACGTCTAATCAGAGAGATGACAACATTTGATGTAATTACATGAACCATTACTGCTGCAGTGTACATCTGTCTGGTGTTGGCACAGGAAACTCAAATCAGCAGGAAAATGAAACCTGAAACAAAACTGAGCACATACTCCCGATCAACACCGGGGCAGACATATCAAACACACATGTGACATTGATACCTAAACCTGCACTTTATTCAAAGTCAACGAAACAAATAGCAGGAAAGATTCAAGATGTTCTCATAAAAGGAATAGTATTGTATTCCCTTCTCAAAGCTTTAAGAGCAATAAAAAGATCTATCTGAAACAAAAACACTGTAATCTAAACATAGACGTAAAATATGTCTTCTCCAGCAGGAAGTTAAATGTCGTAATAACAGGCCCTTTTGACCTTTTGTTTGGGCTGTAAGAGCTGACATTTGGAGTTGGTCAGCTGAGAGAGATAAGGCTTTGTTTATTAGGGTGCATTAAGTTGTAATGTGCATGTGTACACATGGTGCATGCAGCTCACAATAAAAACATAATTAGATACACATCACCATCTGCTGCTGTCTAGGGGGCACTGCCTCTAGTCTAGATACTGGGGAATCATAGCATTTGGTTCTGTTTGTTTTCTGAAACAGATGAGGGCAAAAAGGGATTTTCAAGGAAATTACATTTTTTGGAGTGGCAATTATTTTCATAGTTGCATAAACATTTAAAGTAACAGAAGGAACAAAATCAATGAAATGAGGTCACAACCTCCTATATGTATGATAAACCCTAACTTCAAATGTGTTTGTCCTTTGTGGTCTTTCTTTTCCTTATATTTTTATAAAGGCCATTTTTAGCAAATTCATAATCAGGGCTGTTTAATTCAGGTACTACAGCCTCTGTGTCTCTGTAGAATGCTCAAAGTCTTTGGGTCCCTGTGTTAAGCACTATAGCCTTTCCTTTCCTGTGCTCAGTACTTTAGTCTATGTTTTTGCTGGGCCAATTAGTACTACAGTCTTTGAGTCCATGTGTTAATTTCTGTAGTCCTGTATTCCTGTGTGAAGTACTACAGTCCTGTATTGCTGGGCAAGGTACTACAGTCTTTGAGTCCCTGTGCTCAGTACTGTAGTCTGTAGTCCTGTGTTTAGTACTACAGTCTTTTTGAGTCCCTGTGTTCAGTACTGTAGTCCTGTATTGCTGAGCCAAGTACTACAGTCTTTGAGTCCCTGTGTTCAGTACTGTAGTCTGTAGTCCTGTGTTTAGTACTACAGTCTTTGAGTCCCTGTGTTCAGTACTGTAGTCCTGTATTCCTGTGTTAAGTACTACAGTCTTTGAGTCCCTGTGTTCAGTACTACAGTCTTTGAGTCCCTGTGTTCAGTACTACAGTCTTTTAGTCCCTGTGTTCAGTACTACAGTCTTTAAGTGCCTGTGTTCAGTACTACAGTCTTTAAGTCCCTGTGTTCAGTACTACAGTCTTTAAGTCCCTGTGTTCAGTACTACAGTCTTTAAGTCCCCGTGTGAAGTACTACAGTCTTTAAGTCCCTGTGTTCAGTTCTGTAGTCCTGTATTCCTGTGTCAAACCCCTGTCACACTAGGGCTGCGTTCCCACAGCGTCCAAGAAAAATCCAGAACGCCGATCTGCGCGCAGTGGAATCGCAAGCATTGCCACGGCAACGCAGAGGCATCGCCAGTGAACGCGGTGAGTTAGCATGGAATAGCACTTTGACCATGGCCAAAACAAACACCGTCGCTCGGCGTTCTGATAAGAGCGCAGTGGGATTGCTGTGAGGTCGTCGTAGCAGCGCAGTTAGGTCTCCTACAATGCCACAGGATCGACGCAGGCACGCACAGAGGTCGCAGTGTGAATGCAATGGTTATCGTTGGCGCTTGCACGGCGATCGTACGGTGTTCTCTGAGGTGACACTGTGTCTCTACCGCGCTAATACGCGCCATGACAACTCGATGCAAGCAGTGGAAGCGCCATGAGAGCGCAGACAATCACCAACTAGAACTCCGTAGGAAAGCGGTATAACGCCATGGAGCGCTGTAGAAACGCCAAGGTCACTGTGAGAACCCCTTGACATTGCCATCTTCATGAAAAATATCAATTTTTCCTGTGATCTCACGGCGCTCTGGGAAATTTAACAACGCCTTGCAATCGCAGTGGCAACGCGGCTAGGTGTGACATGGGCTTTAAGTACTACAGTCTCTGCGTTCCTGTGTTCAGTACTGTAGTCCTGTATTAAGTACTACAGTCTCTGCGTTCCTGTGTTCAATACTACAGTCATTAAGTCCCTGTGTTCTTTACTGTAGTCCTGTATTGCTGTGTGAAGTACTGCAGCCTTTGGTTCCCCAGCTCCTTTGTTTGTATGCCTGAACCCTGACATTCCCTCATACAATACCCCTAGAGAGTTGTATAGACCTTGGATGTGTGATGTAATCGTAACACAAAAGCCCTGCCATCACACTAACAGTAGAATCACCCTGAGGAGGTTGTATCTGATGTAACATCATTGGTTTACCATGCCAGGGGTGGATTGGTTAAGGGGGGGGGNGGGGGGGTGTGAAATGGAATTAATTTGTAATTGATTGTGTATTTTACATAATTATAGCTGTTGACTATGTATGGGCTTTCTTTGTCATTCTTATGTATGTATATAATAGTTCTGACCCAGATATGGGAGACTGGGTTAATTTGTCTGTAACATAAATGATGAAGTAGGCAATGATATAGGAGGTCTAATGTTGTTATGTATTAGCAATTTAAGAATTTCTATATTGAGACACTGAATGTTTGATAATGTATTCATTACTTTGCATTGCTGTAGGTATTACACAATCATAGTTTAAAATGATATAATCTTGCTCAAGATAACTGCTGGCTAAGAGCTACATAAATTTCATGTAATAGCTGCCAGACTGACTCACAATTACATGAGTAGCATTGTCTTATCTCCTAAATTTTGTATGCCAATGTATATTTGGGATGATAAGGTATAGTATAAGGCTAGACTTTTTGGTAGTTGAAAAAAATACTTGCAAATCAAATTATTGTCATCCATAAAAAAACTTGTTTAGTATATAATTTCTTCCCTAAAACAAATTGACTCTAGTCCTGGCCCTGTTAACGGTTGCTGTTTAAACACATATATTGGGATGGGAGTGATAAAGCTGCACTTTCAGAAGAAATCAGTTCACCTTAAGCTTGTAATAAAAGATATACTTGCATCTTGTGCTATATTGGTGATATGACCTTGCTCCTTGCTATAATGTTGATATGACCTTGCCCCTTGCTATACTGTTGATATGACCAAGTCCCTTGCTATATTATTGATATGACCTTGCCTCTTGCTATATTATTGATAAGACCTTGCCTTGCCCCTTGCTATACTGTTGATATTACCTTGCCTCTTGCTATAGTGTTGATATGCCCTTGCCTCTTGCTATATTGTTGATATGACCATGCCTTGCCCCTTGCTATACTGTTGATATTACCTTGCCTCTTGCTATACTGTTGATATGACCTTGCCTTGCCCCTTGCTATACTGTTGATATTACCTTGCCTCTTGCTATACTGTTGATATGACCTTGCCTCTTGCTATATTGTTGATATGACCTTGCCTTGCCCCTTGCTATACTGTTGATATGACCTTGCCTCTTGCTATATTGTTGAGATTGCTTGGCCCTTGCTATATTTTTTATCTGATTTTGCCTGTGGTATTACATTAACGGTGACATGACCTTGACCTGCCTATGGTATATTATTAATGGTGACATGACCTTGACCTGTGTTTCAGGCTATGAAGACATACCACACGTACCAGTCAGAAAGTAAGCAGGCTGAGGCCAAGCTCAAGGCTGTGGAGACTCAGAAATCCAAACTGGAGGTCCAGCTCTCAGGCAAAAATGTCTCAAATAACCGCAAACTTAAAAGCTTTATGCGTCAGACGGAGAAGGTGAGTTGGGCGTGTTGATTAATGTAAGGGGTTTGAGGAAGCTTAGTATTTGGGGAATTCAGTGTAGCTTCATGTTACACAATCGTAGATGTATTGTTACACAATACAGAATGGGTAACTACCAAGGTGTTTCAGTTTGGTTATTTGAAGAGAAAGCAAAGTGGGAAGTTAAATACGAGATTCATCATGGTTAGTAGAAAATACATTTATTATCAACAAGAAATTCATTGAAAAACGTCCATTTCAATTTCTGAATGAAATTGGGAATCACAGTAGGTTATTGGTAAAAATATTGGTCATGAAAGAATATCAGAGCCAGCGATTGAGAGACAGGGTTGTAGTATATTTTTTGTTGATGAAAAGAAGATGTTACTACAGAAATTTATAATTTCTTTAAAAGAATCAAAATGTTAAATTATTCATATTTTTTTTTCATTTCAATTTATTAGAAGTAAGACTTTTTAAGTATGTAGCGGTCCTTTAATCTCAAAGACGATGAAAAAAGAGAATTTTATGTGTATGTTGGTATTTTAGGGATTGCATAAATCAGTATCTCCTTGAGATCAGTGACCTTAACATTGTGATAAGGTCACTGAGCAAGGTTACGCATGTAAGGGGTGAACCAGGCTAGGGCTTCCACAAATAGACCTCCTCCCCTCATCTATCACAGGGTATGGGAATGAACTTACTCACACCGGTAAAATAAGCCTGCTGTGAGGGTTATAAATAGATTGTATTACCACACGATGGTTGAAACACATGCTCTGACAGATTCACTATGTTTTTCTGTGGTGTATACTGAGGTAAAACGATAACCAACTTTCACACACACAAACCACTAATGAACAAAAAAACAGATGTAAACAAACGGGTAAATGTTCTGTGATACACAAAATCTGTTACAGTTTCTGTTCAATTCTGGGTACAATTGTAATGGTTCATTGAATGCATCACACACACAAAAAGAGGATTATTTTCATTCAATTTATAAATAAAATGTAATTATTTAACTTGGACTAAGATTTATCAGGTAGTTTTAATTGTATTAACAAGTTTGGCACTGGCGAAATAGCATTGTGTTTAAAATGAAACATTAATGCGTTTGTACGTATGCATGAAGTTATTAATTTTCAATTTTTCTATTACTATTTATGATTCACAGGTATTATCATCTGACACTAGTTTAATGTTCTATTTCTCTTCCCCAGAGGCAAGCCAAATACTCCGAGAACAAACTGAAGGCCTTGAAAGCAAGAAATGACTACCTTCTCTGTATAGAAGCAGCCAATGCGGCCATCAACAAATACTTTTCCGACGACATATCAGACCTGATGGATGTAAGTGTTTAAGTCCGACAAGGGTTAATTAGCGATATATGTACCTGTCCACTAGGGTAAAACATTTGTTGTACCGACATCATTTTTCCAGCAGCATTTTTGCATTACAAAGGGACTTAATGATATGTTAAGATAGACGTACACATTCTCAAACAAATTGTAAACTGGGAACACAATGGCTGTGCTGGTAAATTATTTAAAGGCTGCTATATCAGGGATATAACCTGGTACTTTTTATTTATTTATAAATACGGTATTGATAAGTATAATAATTAGAAAAAAACTTACATGAATATTTTTAAAATTTGTTCTAATACTATCAGGTTCTTCTCATTTTACCACATTATCTTTTCAATCATCAAGGCCCGAACTTTAACAGAGCCCTGCTACTCATGATATAAATCCCTGTTGCTATGATAGTATAGATCTATGTACATTTATATATAGCTCCTGTTTCTACAGCAGTGTGCATAAATGTCTGTTTCTGTGGCAGTAGATATTAATGTCTGTTTCTGTGGCAGTAGATATAAATGTCTGTTTCGGTGGCAGTAGATATAAATTCTGTTTCGGTGGCAGTAGATATAAATGTCTGTTTCTGTGGCTGTAGATATAAATGTCTGTTTCTGTGGCAGTAGATTTAAATGTCTGTTTCGGTGGCAGTAGATATTAATGTCTGTTTCGGTGGCAGTAGATATAAATGTCTGTTTCTGTGGCAGTAGATTTAAATGTCTGTTTCGGTGGCAGTAGATATTAATGTCTGTTTCTGTGGCAGTATATATAAATGTCTGTTTCTGTGGCAGTAGATATAAATTTCTGTTTCTGTGGCAGTAGATCTTAATGTCTGTTTCTGTGGCAGTAGATATAAATGTCTGTTTATGTGGCAGTAGATATTAATGTCTGTTTCTGTGGCAGTAGATATAAATGTCTTTTTCTGTGGCAGTAGATATAAATGTCTGTTTCTGTTGCAGTAGATATTAATGTCTGTTTCTGTGGCAGTAGATATTAATGTCTATTTCTGTGGCAGTAGATATTAATGTCTGTTTCTGTGGCAGTATATATAAATGTCTGTTTCTGTGGCAGTAGATATAAATTTCTGTTTCTGTGGCAGTAGATCTTAATGTCTGTTTCTGTGGCAGTAGATATAAATGTCTTTTTCTGTGGCAGTAGATATAAATGTCTGTTTCTGTGACAGTAGATATTAATGTCTGTTTCTGTGGCAGTATATATTAATGTCTGTTTCTGTGGCAGTAGATATAAATGTCTGTTTATGTGGCAGTAGATATTAATGTCTGTTTCTGTGGCAGTATATATAAATGTCTGTTTCTGTGGCAGTAGATATAAATGTCTTTTTCTGTGGCAGTAGATATAAATGTCTGTTTGTGTGGCAGTAGATATTAATGTCTGTTTCTGTGGCAGTAGATATAAATGTCTTTTTCTGTGGCAGTAGATATAAATGTCTGTTTGTGTGGCAGTAGATATTAATGTCTGTTTCTGTGGCAGTAGATATTAATGTCTGTTTCTGTGGCAGTGTATGGACTTTGGATACCATAACTCGGTGAAGAACTCCATGCTGATGTACCAGAACCTTCACAAGAACCTAAGTAGGTGTCACCAGCAAAGTGTCGACATCGTTCAGAAATGTGTGGCCGAGCTGGATGCCCAGTCAGACAAACAACGCTTCATTGAGCTCCAAAATGCTGCCTTCATGCTGCCAAAAAAATTTGAATTTCAGCCGTGTAGAGGGGATGAGGTAGGTTCCTAGACTTGGTTCTAAGCAAATCAAACTTCCTATTCATTTAATTTAATTCATTTTCTATCAGAACTATGAAATACATTGGTGGTTAGTCACATCTGATCATGAAGGAGTTTAAGCAAAATTTAGTGTGATTCACCATGTAAAGTTACCCAGATCTTATAAAAGTAATAGAGTTATGGGTGACAAAGAATGGAAAACTGGAAAACCTTAGGTTTGGTGTACTAATGTATATTTTCTGGATATCAACCTAATGTGTGCTTACGTCTTACAGGTCCAACAAATTAGTGCTCAAAAACCGGTACAGGATGATATCCTCCAAAGACACCGTGCCATACAAGAACGTCTTGTCGACCTCCGACTAGAAAATGATGAGGTAGGTAGTAGTGTAAACATTGTTGATATACATGCAAGATTTTGATAAAAAAAAAATGTTAAGCAAAATAATTCTTCGACAAATTTCAGTGGTTTTAGTGACAAAGTGATTTATATAGAGACCATTATTTGTTTAACAGACGTGGAAGACTCTGGAGGCGACGGAGAAATCACTTAACGACAAAATCAATGTGGCTGACTATGACGTCTCAAGCTTCTTTCTGGACGAGAATCAACCACCACGCTCACCTCACGAAGCGGCCAAGCTCCGAGGGGACCGAGTGGAGGTGGAGGGCTTCTACTTAGAGGTAATTGTTGATACTCTCGGTAAGAAGGGGGGAATCACATTGGAGGATTGGAGGGGTGGAGAATCAATAGGGAGAAAAAAGGGCGGGATCACTAAGGAGGTAAGGGGAGTTGGTCATAAGGAATTTTGTCTTTTGATATAAAGAGAGAAAATATAATAGATTGAGTATGTTTCTCATGCAATGAATTAACAATCTAGCACCAGTTCAGTTTTGTTAAAAAACATTTGCACAATAAGGTCACTGGTGTCATACTATGTGTAGACGGAGAACAACAGTCACTGACCAGTTAAAACCATAGGTTATTTGAACTTTTTTATATTGATGAACATTTTCTTGTTTCATTTCAATGGGTTATTTATTTGTTTTAATAGCTTTGACATGAAATTTTTATTTGCAGAAATTCCGGTCCTACACATTAAGCTGTAACAGAATTTCACGACTCCAGGCCAAACAAAGTGCAATACAGAAATCTGTGGGCGACAATCTGTCAAACACTGGGTAAGTCTCGGTATCATTACAGAAATCTGTGGGTGACAATCTGTCAAACACTGGGTAAGTCTTGGTTATCATTACAGAAATCTGTGGGTGACAATCTGTCAAACACTGGGTAAGTCTCGGTAATCAATACAGAAATCTGTGGGTGACAATCTGTCAAACACTGGGTAAGTCTCGTTATCGTTAAAGAAATCTGTGGGTGACAATCTGTCAAACACAGGGTAAGACTCGTTATCAATACAGAAATCTGTGGGCGACAATCTGTCAAACACTGGGTAAGTCTCGTTATCGTTACAGAAATCTGTGGGTGAAAATCCGTCAAACACTGGGTAAGTCTCGTTATCGTTACAGAAATCTGGGCGACAATCTGTCAAACACTGGGTAAGTTTCGTTATTGTTACAGAAATCTGTGGGTGACAATCTGTCAAACACTGGGTAGGTCTCGTTATCGTTACAGAAATCTGTGGGTGACAATCTGTCAAACACTGGGTAAGTCTCGTTATCAATACAGAAATCTGTGGGTGACAATCTGTCAAACACAGGGTAAGACTCGTTATCAATACAGAAATCAGGGCAACAATCTGTCAAACACTGGGTAAGTCTCGTAATCGTTACAGAAATCTGTGGGTGACAATCTGTCAAACACAGGGTAAGTTTCGTTATCGTTACAGAAATCTGTGGGCGACAATCTGTCAAATACAGGGTAAGTCTCGGTATCATTACAGAAATCTGTGGGCGACAATCTGTCAAACACAGGGTAGTCTCGGTATCATAACAGAAATCTGTGGGTGACAATCTGTCAAACACAGGGTAAGTCTCGGTAATCCCTATACAAAGCCCTAAAAGGAACAGACATCATCAAATTGCTATTCTGTAAATGTTTTCTGGTTTAACTAATTTTCAATACCATTTATTTTGTTTTTAACAAGTCTAAATCAAACATCGATAAATTTGGAACATGAGAATTTCGATAATGATATCATTGTATTTTTTATAGGCGACCACCGTCACTACCACCAAAGCCAAAAAAGCGAAGGATAGGGCGTAGTCAAATGGTAGGACAACCCAAGTTGTTTGGGGGCAGTCTGGAGGAATATATAGAGGTGAGTCCTGGATTCAGTTCTGTTTATTATGTCTCCCCTTCGATTGTCTTAATTCTGGTTCTTCTTCACTAATACAATGTAATAATTTCTTGTCTGGGCTGTAACTTTTTAACCGTTAAAGATACCTCGATGATTCTTGCAGTTATACCTGCATCACCCACAAATGATGTGCAGTGCACTGTGACCTTTACCTCAATATAAAAGGTTAAAAAAGCGCACACTTTTCATTTGCAACTTTGAAACTGCGAGGGAACTCTAATCTCATGCATCAAATATACATATTGGCTAAGTAGGGTAGCAAAAACATATCTCTAGTTGGTATTTGGAGCAGTCTGGATTAGTTAATAGAAGTTTTAATGGGATTACCAAGGTAAGCTGTGTTTGGGTGTACTATAATGTGTCAAATATTTGTACCCACTTAGTACCCACAGTATGATCTGTCTTTGTCCTCTTAAGATATCTGGCCACTTCTGTGGTTAAATTGTTTAGTAATCTGACAGTGTTATGTAACCGTTTCCACAGACAGATGTTTTTGATGTTGATAAAGCCCGCCTACATTTATAGTGCAATCTACTGGCAATGATATTCTCGTGATTATCCGGATCTTTGATGAAGTCTGGCTACATTTACATTTCAGGCTACTGGTAATGATATTCCACTGATTATCAGGAGCTGTATACGAGCCATCAACCTTTATGGTGAGTTCTTAGAACGTGGAGAGCCAAAGCTTCTGGACTAACCAGGAATCAACTTTCATTTCCAAACTGAAAGTTGTTAACATTTACAATGTCAGTAAACTGAAGTAGAATTTGTTTTTATCATTAATGAAATGTGTTTCCTTTATAAATGATGAGTTTGAATATTAAAATCTAGTGATGAAGTTTCTAATATAAACAAGGGAACAAAAAGAATAAATTTATGACTAGCATACAATTGTTACCTGGACAAGTTGGTTTTATCAGTGATGTGACTTATTTACTCTGTTTCTACCTGTACAGGTATGCACCATCAAGGTATATTCCGTATCTCAGGTGCTCAGGTAGAAATCAACGAACATAAGGTAGAATTTGAAAAAGGTGAGTTTGATGTTCTTTTCTTTCAATGCAGAAGTGAATTTCATTTCAGAGACTTATTCAAAGTCCTTGATTGTAGCAGTATTGTATTTATATCTTGTCAAATTTGTTTTGTGGTGTTTTATTTCAACATCTCATGAAAGCATAATTTAAAAACTTATAAATTCAGCTACCTTAAAAATGAAAATATCTAACTGTTGATAAATTATTTAGTAATTCATCTAAAAGGTCTTCTTTAATCAAGAACTTGATCATGTTGTGTTATAAAAATATCTGTAGATCGCTGGATTTATGGATTTTTGATAAAATAGACCCGATACTTGTAGTTTTCTACGTTCTAAGTTCACCTGACCCTATGGTTACTATACTCTGTTTGATGTTTATTTTTCTACCTGATTAATATTACCTATGTCAATTACTTTTTCTACCTGATTAATATTACCTATGTCAATTACTTTTTCTACCTGATTAATATTACCTGTGTCAATTATTTTTTCTACCTGATTAATATTACCTATGTCAATTACTTTTTCTACCTGATTAATATTACCTATGTCAATGTTATCTGTCTGTTCTCCCCTATATAATTGCCTGTCTGTTCGTCCAGGCCACGACCCCCTGGTCGACGTTGACCCCAGTGACATTAACTCGGTGGCAGGCGTGCTGAAGGCGTACTTTAGGGAGCTGAGAGAACCCCTCTTTCCACTGCCACTATTTGATGAGCTCATAGACGGCAGCAGTAAGTAATTATGTACAGGTCAAAGGTCAGCAGGATAAAAAATAGAATAAAATCATACTTTACAGATATAGATTATGAAAAAACAACTCTAAACATTCTTCTATAGGGTGCTCATATTTCTGACAGCTGTCATTAACTTCCATGCTGACTGGTAATTGTTAAATGGAGTTAAAGAGTTAAATGGCAGATGAATCAAATAGTTCAGCGTTAAATGGCAGGTGAATCAAATAGTTCAGCGTTAAATGGCAGATGAATCAAATAGTTCATCGTTAAATGGCAGGTGAATCAAATAGTTCAGCTGATAGATCCCAGAGTTGCATTACTGAATTTATCCAAACATAAGCCCAGAGAGCCAACATATAGCATCTTTCTCAAATTAGGGGGTTGGGCTTCTAGCAGGACTTGCTGGAAAGCATTAGCGTTTGTAGATCTGAGAAATATTACATTGCTTTACAAGAGTTTGTAGATCTGAGATGAATTACATTGCTTTACAAGAGTTTGTAGATCTGAGATGTATTACATTGCTTTACATGGGTTTGTAGATCTGAGATGTATTACGTTGCTTTACAAGGGTTTGTAGATCTGAGATGTATTACATTGCTTTACATGGGTTTGTAGATCTGAGATGTATTACCTTGCTTTACAAGGGTTTGTAGATCTGAGATGTATTACCTTGCTTTACAAGGGTTTGTAGATCTGAGATGGATTACATTGCTTTACAAGGGTTTGTAGATCTGAGATGTATTACGTTGCTTTACAAGGGTTTGTAGATCTGAGATGTATTACGTTGCTTTACAAGGGTTTGTAGATCTGAGATGTATTACGTTGCTTTACAAGGGTTTGTAGATCTGAGATGTATAACATTGCTTTACAAGGGTTTGTAGATGTGAGATGTATTACATTGCTTTACAAGGCTTTGTAGATCTGAGATGTATTACATTGCGTTACAAGGGTTTGTAGATCTGAGATGTATTACATTGCGTTACAAGGGTTTGTAGATCTGAGATGTATTACGTTGCTTTACAAGGGTTTGTAGATCTGAGATGGATTACATTGCTTTACAAGGGTTTGTAGATCTGAGATGGATTACATTGCTTTACAAGGGTTTGTAGATATGAGATGTATTACATTGCTTTACAAGAGTTTGTAGATCTGAGATGAATTACATTGCTTTACAAGGGTTTGTAGATCTGAGATGTATTACATTGCTTTACAAGGGTTTGTGGTGATGGGAATTGCTTCAAAATTCATAACTGATCATCACTATTTCACAAAAGTCTTGAAACTTTATATGATCAAACATAGAAAAACAAAATCGATTGTTTATAAAGGTGTAACGACTTATCATCGATTAAATAGATAAACTGGAACAGCACTGATATTTCTGTGACTTATTACCTTGCCTAACGAGTAACCGTAATGTGTTACAGAGCTTGATGACCAACACCGATGGGAGAAGATCAAGGAACTCTTGTCCTCACTGCCACGTGCTATTCTCATCGTGATGAAGTATCTCTTCTCCTTCCTCAACCAGTGAGTTTCATCTTCTATATCAAATTACAAGGAGAATCAATTAGGAATTCAAATATGTATATCACAACTGTTTGTTCAGGTTTATCTATACAAGTAATAAGTATATTGTATACTGTAGAATCATTTATTTTCGTGGGGTTAAAATTTCATGGTTTTCATATACTAGCCTGTTTAAGGGTCATTATATTAAGCTGAATTACCCCCTATCTATATAATACCAAATATATGTTTAAGTGGGGATTTAATCTCGTGGATTTTGTTATAAAATAAATGAAATTTAATGTCCCACAAAAAATTATGATTTTACAGTACCAGGAAACTTTCCCTCAGTCAAATATTCGTCTTTCGCCGATAAAATCCATGTTCGCCTATTGTTAATATCTCCCTTTACATGTAATTTCTATATAATGTATGTTGAGCACTAATATTCGCTGTCGTGATAAATATGCCCTTTTTGGGGAAATGAACAAGGCAAAAGTTGAACTGGCAAAACTTTTCAAGTATACAGTATTCATGTTATTGCTCATATGCTTATTCAAATCCTTGCAAATGAATCGTTAAAAATAAGTATTTCTGAAAAGTTACCTACAGTATGGAATTATAATGAACAGAATTTCTTTTTAGATTCAGAACATAAAAAAGACAAACCTACTCTTAATATGGCTGACCACATTTGTATCAGCAACTGACTTTCCGCATTTCTTTGACAGTCTGTCTGAGTACTCCGACGAGAACATGATGGATGCCTATAACTTGGCCATCTGTTTCGGCCCCACACTCTTACCCATCCCACCAGACCGTGATCAGGTATCGTACCAGAGCAATGTTCATGAGGTCATCAAGACCATCATCATCCACCAGGAGGATATCTACTCTAACTACGAAAACTCTGTCGTCTACGAGAAGTGTATCCTGGAGACATCTCGGTACGGTGTTATAGAAATATCCTGGTCAGGTTTCGATATCACTGAGATACTGAATTTTTCCTTGGCTAATCAAAACCTGGCATGTCCTGAAATGAGCATAACTGTTAATCGGACGTAAAACACAAACCACCAAACGAAACCTTGGCTGATCTTTGATATGATCTTCCATATACCTTACAAAATGGTGAAGACTATAGCTCTTACTCTACTAGAAGTGAACACTAAGTGTTAGTGATATTGATAAAGCCTAATGATCAGGAATATAATGTTAAGCGTCTGCCTATAAAAGGATAGATATGGCCAAGATACTGTGTATTTGATTTTACTGTTAAAGGGCACAGTGACTCTTGATTAATTATTTATCCAGTATTCATACACTACGGAAAAAACCCAAAATAAACATAGACTTAATAATGTTAAATTGGTGTGAAAAATATCTCATTTTGAAAACTTAAATGATTTCTTTTAATTATTTTAGGGATACCACAGATGATGTTACAGAAGACGAGGATGAAACAAGCTCAATACGCAGCAATGAGGATGAAGATGATGATGGTGAGCTGGGTTATGTAGTAGATGTCCTATAGACTATCTGGAACTGTATCTCTATCTAGTGTCCCCACAAGACTGGGATTTTCCCACTGACGGGCTCAGATTGTCTGTTCAGAATATACCTAATAGCCAGTTGTAACTATGATCTGACCCTGAGGGAAGTCTACAGCAGAAGGGGACAGATAACAGTCCTCCTACACCTGTAATATACCAGGTAGATTATCAGTGTAATATATCAGGTAGATAATCAGTGTAACACACCTGTAATATACAAGGTAAATAATCAGTGTAACACACCTGTAATATATCAGGTAGATAATCAGTGTAACACACCTGTAATGTATCAGGTAGATAATCAGTGTAACACACCTGTAATATATCAGGTAGATATTCAGTATAACACACCTGTAATATATCAGGTAGATAATCAGTGTAACACACCTGTAATACTACAGGTTAATTATTTGCAATATTAGGGAAATTTTCTTGCAAATTCAGCAAAACTACTGCAATTGGAAAGATGGCTAATGAATGCGACATCTTTGTTACTGTGGCACTTACAGATATCCTTTATCTAAAAGCAGAGATAATAAACCTTGCGTTAATTTTGCCTGGAATTCACCAGGTGTGGGAGGACTGTATTGATATTGTATGGACAGACGTATCTATAATCTATATTGTCAATGTAGTGTACAAATTGTAACAGAGGTCTGAAAAAGTAAAAAGACCGGTATATGTGACAAAATGGACAGCACAACATTAAAGTCAGTTAGCTAGCGGAGTGAATAATTGTAGGAGGAGGATCTTCCAAGTTTTCATGTAATTCACTACTAATTCCACATTTTGTTACCAATCATACAAGCTATGGAACCTTCTACTGCCTCTCCCTACTCCCTGCATTCTAAAGTCAGGCTTGGCGCTGATATCTGCCTTCACCTGGAATATAGTTCAGCTTTGGCTTGAAGACATGAATCTTACTTTCCTGTATAGTGTAAAACAAGTTGATAACAAAGACTGTGGGACAAAAACAGTTGTTTGTTGTACATATTATCACATGTAGATCACTCAAATGTGCGAATATTGTAAATATAGGTACAATAACATCCGGGATTTGAAGATTAATAGTTCTAGATATAACTTTCTTGTTATTAGTGTTTTGAACTTCTATTTTACTGTATACCTCGGCTATTAGATGTTAAAATCTACAGTTTGTAGGGCGCAGTTGAGGTGATGTAAAAATGTATCAATATGATATTGGCTATGCCAGGAATAAGCTGTAGATAGCTATCAGTGTGTTGCCCGGTCAAGTGAGTGATTTAGATGAAGAAAGCTATAGATATGGTTCTACTAGCCATTATATCTAGACAGCCATCGATATGTGTTTGGTTCAAGGAGTGATTAAGATGTAGAAAGATAGGGACAAGGGCTGCAGTGACAGATTCACCTGGATTTTTTTCCTGAGATATTGAGAGAATACCTGTAAATCACTTGCATAGCATCAGGCAGATTTATATCCTTGTTCATTCAGAAGAGTCTGTCACTAAATATAATGTGGATATTTTTTTTCAGCAATTGAACAAAATTTAGTCATAGAAATTTTCTTTCCCGACTTTAAATCTTTGATAACATGAATAATTGGTTGGAAGTACTTCATCAAATATAATTCCACGAACATTGAGACAAAGGGAGGTAATTGTTGCATGACTTTGAGGCTGTGGGTTACTGTGGGGTTTAGTGTCCTGACCGCTATCTTCTGATTTCCAGGCTCTGCGCTAGGTAAGAATGTAAGACTCCCTGCTCATCTTCAGTTCTCCCCAAAGAATTTATCATCATTTGCATATGTATCAATCTTTTAGTTTAAATGCAGAACTTTCATTCTTCGCCTGCTGAACAGTTTTAAAAGTTTCTCTTTACATACAAGTCAGGTTTTGTTCAGCTATTACAAATACTTTAAATGATAATTGAATTTTGATTAAGCTATTCTTAAGTTTTTATTTGGCATAGCTAGCCATTTAGTTATCGCTCATGACTTGTCAAATTTGACATCATTACATTGTGAAGTCATTAAAAAAACCATGTCCTCCTCCAGCTGTAATTATTATTTAGTTGACAATCGTTTTGGTTTGTTTGAACTAAAAAAAATAACTACGGTAAAACAGCAGTTTACAGAATGTCTGAGTTCTGCATTGCTTGTGACTTAATCTTATTTGGATTTGGTTGGTGGTCATTGAGTCCTGATCATTACTGTGGTTGTTGTAGTACAGACGCTGGGCAGGGAGATTGGCTTAAATGTAACCTGAATGTATGTATGATGATGTGTCTAATAAACCTGATCGAAGGCACAACAGTTCATCTCAGTTGTAACATATGTAAATTGATGAAATTGATGGAGTTGTGATAAATAATTCTTATGTAGCTAGACTTTTAATGAATGGTTAATGCATCCAAGTGATTGTTTACACTCAATGTTGTCATCCCTGATTTGTAATGAATTTGCTTCTTTCTGTTGAATTCCTCTGAGCAGGTGATATCTGTAGATTAGATGTTTAAATTGTCTCCCTTTGTGATGGCATGTGCTGGTTCAACATTTCGACTAACTACATCAATTCATACACAAAATATAAAAACAAATTTGGTTGATATGAAAACTAAACTCATCAGTGTCCTATCGTCGGTTTATAGGAAAAAACTTGTATTGTATTACATGATTTGTTTCCATGGTAACTAGATGAGAGCTGAGAAGGCTGTGTGAAAGGTGCGCAGTAGTTATACATTAGTTGCTACTAATTTGCCCTGCTTTGTACAGGATTAAGAGGTCGCAGCTGCATGGCTTCCAATATAAGCACAAAGATCATGGATGTGTAATATCGTACCACACCGCTCTGTCGTAACGCTTACCTGGGTGTATGGCTGTATAGACGGGATAAAACTATTTATCAGATACCATACTGTGTACAGTGGAACTCGGCTATTACTCACAGAATCTTACGTACCAGATAATGATATTTCAGAAATGAATATAAAAAACATTGTTTTGATGTTTTTCTTAATCACATGTCTGTATTTACCAGGTTCCACTGTTTAGCAGACTTAACTACAGCAGATATTACCAGTATCTTAACCCTTTCAACCCTATGTAACTTTAGCAGACTCTACCATGCATTGATGTGGATGAGTCCATTATGGTCTACAGTGGTGAAAGGGTTAATAAAACTAGAACTACAGTATACATGACCAGTATTTATGTATAATATAGGTTTAACAACAGCAGACATTAGCAATATTTGTATTAAAGTATTATATATGAAATTCTTTACTAAGCTCACTAAAAGAGTTTTTGCTACCTATCTATATGCTAAGTGGAAGTGTCACAAGTTGTTCCTACCTTTTATTGCTTCAGTTCAATGTTTCTTGGTGATGCAGGTGAAATTTTGGACAAAGATTCCAATGTCTGCAGTCAGATAAGAATAGATGGTTATTGTGATATTTAACAGAATGGAAAGATTTCTACATGAAATCAGAGAAATCTTAAGTCGCAGGTAGGAAGCTTGTGCATCATAATGTATGCCAGCACACCTGAGTTAAGCCCTAAGGCGACTACTGACAGAATTCAGGCTTTGTTCCACACTACAACACTCATTAAATAAATTCACAGAAGGTTACATTTGAAAACAGAATTGATATAATAGTATTTTGAGAAACTACCTGTCGAGCCTATATATGAGCTACTGGTCGTAGGGTGTTGCTAAATTATGATACAGGTACATGTATCCTGAACAGGTCATCTTAATCACATACGTACAGTGGATTTGACTTTTGTGTATTGTCTACTGTTTTTTTCTTCAGATTCAGAAATCTTTGAAGCTCTAGCTCTCTTTGATTTCACCGGGCGTACAGAGCGGGAGCTTTCCTTCAAAAAGGGAGATAACTTGATAATTTACAACAAGATGTCGACCGATTGGTGGGAGGGCTGCTTCAACGGCAAGGAGGGTCTGATCCCGGACAAGTACATCTCCCTCAAACACCCGTACGTATTTACAAAACCTTCACATCAGTTTCATACATCTGTATGCTAATCTTTTATTTCACAAGATGAAACATGTTCACACTTATTTGTGATGAGACTATATAAAAGAACAATACAATGTATCAAAACTAGATTGAAGTACATTTGGCATTATACATAATTTTAATTTCTGTTTGCTGTTATGTAAATTCCAGACAAATGATTAAGTCTTACAATGAGATGTCTCTGATCAAACTAAACACACACAAAATAAATCAGATGATACTTGACCAGATAAATCTTGCATACATTTAATGAGAATACATTTAATTTAAAATGATTTTTCAAGATATCTTTTGCGATATCATTATGGAACATTACATTTAGGAGTTGAGTTGTCTGTGTCTTGTTAGCTTTGCAGAATACACTTATTTGTGAAATTTCAACTCTTTTATTTCAAATTTAAATGTTTTGCCATAACATATATACAATCTTCTACACTACACTTAACTACATTTTAAATTTCTGATTTAAATCTTTCTGATGAAGGCATGTTTCACAACTAACCACACATACCTTTCTAGCCCTACTAGTCGTGAGCCGTCAACATCATGACCTGAAGGTATGATAGAGGTATCAATTCGGGAACTTGTTTTTCCTTTAAAAATGAAAAATTGGCACCTCGTGATTATCATATCATAAATGTTATAACTTCACTTCCTTGTATAACAGAAATTGTTATTCAAACATATATGATTTAATAGATATGCACATGCATGGAAATACGGACTGATTTAAGACTGTAGCTGATCTATTGGATATATCCTTGACACTCTACTCCTATATAATTAAGGGCTATACACTCTGATGTAATTGAGGGCTATACACTCTGATATAATTGAGGGCTATACACTCTAATATAATTGAGGGCTATACACTGATATAACTGAGGGCTATACACTGATATAATTGAGGGCTATACACTGATATAATTGAGGGCTATACACTGATATAATTGAGGGCTATACACTCTGATATAATTGAGGGCTATATACTCTGATATAATTGAGGGCTATACACTGATGTAATTGAGGGCTATACACTCTGATATAATTGAGGGCTATACACACTGATATAATTGAGGGCTATACACTCTGATATAACTGAGGGCTATACACTCTCATATAATTGAGGGCTATACACTCTGATGTAATTGAGGGCTATACTCTCTGATATAATTGAGGGCTATACACTCTGATGTCATTGAGGGCTATACACTGATATAACTTAGGGCTATACACTGATATAATTGAGGGCTATACGCTCTGATATAATTGAGGGCTATATACTCTGATATAATTGAGGGCTATACACTGATGTAATTGAGGGCTATACACTCTGATATAATTGAGGGGTATATACTCTGATATAATTGAGGGCTATACACTGATATAGTTGAGGGCTATACACTCTGATATAATTGAGGGCTATATGCTCTGATATAATTGAGGGCTATACACTGATGTAATTGAGGGCTATACACTCTGATATAATTGAGGGCTGTACACTGATATCATTGAGGGCTATACACTGATATAATTGAGGGCTATAACACTGATATAACTGAGGGCTATACACTCTGATATAATTGAGGGCTATACACTCTAATATAATTGAGGGCTATACACTGATATAACTTAGGGCTATACACTGATATAATTGAGGGCTATACTCTCTGATATAACTGAGGGCTATACACTCTGATAAAATTGAGGGCTATACACTCTGATATAACTGAGGGCTATACTGATATAATTGAGGGCTATACACTGATATAAATGAGGGCTATACACTGATATAATTGAGGGCTATGCACTCTGATATAATTGAGGGCTATACACTCTGATATAAATGAGGGCTATACACTGATAAAACTGAGGGCTATACACTGATATAATTGAGGGCTATACTCTCTGATATAACTGAGGGCTATATACTCTGATATATCTGAGGGCTATACACTCTGATATAATTGAGGGCTATATGCTCTGATATAATTGAGGGCTATACACTGATGTAATTGAGGGCTATACACTCTGATATAATTGAGGGGTATATACTCTGATATAATTGAGGGCTATACACTGATGTAATTGAGGGCTATACACTCTGATATAATTGAGGGGTATATACTCTGATATAATTGAGGGCTATACACTGATATAATTGAGGACTATACACTCTGATATAATTGAGGGCTATATACTCTGATATAATTGAGGGATATACACTGATGTAATTGAGGGCTATACACTCTGATATAATTGAGGGCTATACACTGATATAATTGAGGGCTATAACACTGATATAAGTGAGGGCTATACACTGATATAACTGAGGGCTATACACTCTGATATAATTGAGGGCTATACACTGATATAATTGAGGGCTATAAACTCTGATATAATTGAGGGCTATACACTCTGATATAATTGAGGGCTATACACTGATATAATTGAGGGCTATACACTCTGATATAATTGAGGGCTATACACTCTGATATAATTGAGGGCTATACACTCTGATAAAACTGAGGGCTATACACTCTGATAAAACTGAGGGCTATACACACTGATATAACTGAGGGCTATACACTCTGATATAACTGAGGGCTATACTAAATTCACAATGCATATATATACTTTATAACACGTGGCATGGAACCAACTATCATCTAATTGTTTCAAAATATTTCATTTGTGTCGTGTAATGTTTCTTTTATATATTTCTTTTGTTTTGTACTTCAGATAAATAATGTATACAGTGTAGTATAAACATTATAATTGTATGACTTTCCTGCAATCTTGTTGAAAAGTGAAGAAATAAGATGGAATTTTTTTATTTACTTATACTTTTTTCAACCATAATATATAGTCACTAAGATTTACAAATTATTCAAAGTGTTTGCAAATGTAAATATTGTCGAAAGATTTGACGTTATTCGTATTAAGATAAGAAAGTTCCTTTTCTTATCCATTGTAACATGTTGACAGCTTAGTGTACCATCTATAACAGCATGGATATTTCATTTGTACATTTGTTTCTTTTATTTCAAATTGAAAATATCTACATATAAAACTTAGGTACCTTCAAAAATACTTTTTGAAAGTTGTAACTGTAAGAAATATTATATCGGTGTTTTGGTCCAAAAAAAATTGTTTTAAGTGTGAAGAACAACCAATCTGCATAATGCTAGTATGTTTTGTAGATAGAGTTGAAGCCCTTTAATAATCCAATTTTGTAAATTTCATAAACAAGCAAATCTAAACACAGTCGCTAAATAAGTGGTTCATTCAAGAAAATGGACAGTTTAACAGTACCACCCTTCTACACAGCATATCATCAATATAGGACTCTTTTTGAGAAATTAATTGTCAAATGAAATAAAGGCGCATCAAATATTGCTAAAACATATAACATCAACCTGTCTGTCAGCGCTTTACTGAATCTTAACAAATGGGACTATTTTATGTAAGTAACTTTTAAAACTGAGGGAAACATTAATTTAGTGACTATTATAATAAATTTAGGAAATAATGAACATTATTTATTCTTACATGTAGAGGTAACATTTATGTAACACTTACTTTACTTACAGACCAGATGACAAGAAGAGCCACTCTGATGACGATCGTTCCATTTCCCTGTCGTCGCTCCCAGCGCGGAAGCAGCCGAGTGTTGGAGAAGACTTCACCCTGGAGAAATCAGTATCCCAGCCCAACATATCCATCAAAGACATGTCATCATCTGCTGGGATGAGCCCCGCCCCCTCTCCCCAGACAACGCCCCGCTCATCTAACACACCCTCAACCCAGGACCCTGCCCCAGCAGGCGTATGTGAGAGCACGCCAATCCTGTCCATAACCCCGGACGGGCGCCTGGAGATGAAACGTCAGCTGTCCACGCCCGATCCCATCACAGAGGAGATGAGTGCAGATATAGACAATGCTTTGGCCGAGGTTGTATCAGGACTGAAGTCTTTGGAGATGCAGCAACGTGGTGACAAACGCATGAGTCTGCCACTTACAAAGCAGAAAGCCACACCCAAGCACACTCCTGATCTGGTGCTTGACCTTCCTGAGGGGTCAAACTCCTCTCCCCAGGAAGGCAGTGGTCCTGACAGTCCCACCAACACAGTTGCCGACAGGTTTGCCCAGTCCAACCAGGGTACGCTCAAAAAAGCGAGCTCCATGCCCCGTAACATCAACCCTCCGACTGTCAGCGTTGGCGGTGTCATGAGTTCTAGTGTAACAAGTAGTCACGGAGAACCAATAACCTTTGACCCCTCATATCTGACAGAGCAGCCTGTGTTCTCTACATTTGCACAAGGGCGTAGAGGTGTGAACCCTAACCGTTCCAAAAGTCTGACTGACCGTGGGCCTTTGGATCTCAGTGTCTCTAACAAACAGGCCCCGGTGCCAGTCCTGCCCCCTGTACCAGTGCTTCCTCTTTCCCACAGCATTCCCTCCGTTGGGGGTGTGACTCCACCCCCTGTGGCAGACAAACCCAAACCCCCCATCAAAGTAAAGCCCCCCGTGATGAAGAAGCCCACACGGTCCCCTGAGGTTCAGCGCCGTTTCCCTCCCCCTGCCCCCACACCACAGGACTGAGTCTTCCAGTGAGTTAGTGATGAATAACTGTGGACCTATGTCAAAAGTAGTATAGCTGCATAGCCAGTGCGCTGGAAGTTATGCTGCTTCAGCAGTGCTCAGGACGTTATGCTGCTTCAACAGTAAGCCTGCAATGCCTGTTGTATTATAAGTGGGACCCCCACACATGCTGGTATATAGTAGTTTATGCTCCAGTGTGTGTGAGGAGCCATGTACTCTGTTCCTCGGTACAACTGTACTAGACTCTGTGAACATGGATAAGTGATCTGACATTTTTATTTAGGAAATTATTACAGAATTTTTATATATATACACATTATTGAATGAAATCAGCATGTACTCTTATGATTTTGTGATGCCAAATCTGTCCTAATATGGAAAGATGCATAATATTTGTATGATTTTATAACGGCATTGCTTTACCCTAACCTTGGACTGTGCCTGTCCCAGTGTTTTGTGTGGAGGCGAGTGATGACACCAGAAGGATTCGTGTTTTTGTACCAGGTTGTCTTCAGTGACAACATGCTATTCTGGTCTGTGTCGTAGCTAACATTACTGTGCAATATGAAGATTTTATTTCTCGTTCGCTGCTTTAAACAATGTTACTAGGTGATTCGCTGTGAAACTGAGTAATGTGCTGGGTTACTGTTTGATAAATTGTGTAATTTAGTGACATGCTGTGTTACTAGTTCCTAAGTGATACACTTGATTTACTGCTTTAACCAAAGTTACTGGGTGTTATGCTGTGTGTTACTTATTGATACATGTTACTTAGCAGTACACTGTGTTACTGTGTGATACACTGTGTTACTGGGTGATGCACTGTGTTACTGTGTGATACACTGTGTTACTATGTGATACACTGTGTTACTGGGTGATACACTGTTACTGGGTGATATACTGTGTTACTATGTGATACACTGTGTTACTATGTGATACACTCTGTTACTATGTGATACACTGTGTTACTATGTGATTCACTGTGTTACTGGGTGATACACTGTTACTGGGTGATATACTGTGTTACTATGTGATACACTGTGTTCCTATGTGATACACTGTGTTACTGGGTGATACACTCTGTTACTATGTGATACACTGTGTTACTATGTGATTCACTGTGTTACTGGGTGATACACTGTTACTGGGTGATATACTGTGTTACTATGTGATCCACTGTGTTACTATGTGATACACTGTGTTACTATGCGATACACTGTGTTACTATGTGATACACTGTGTTACTGGGTGATACACTGTGTTACTATGTGATACACTGTTACTGGGTGATGCACTCTGTTACTATGTGATACACTGTGTTACTGGGTGATACACTGTGTTACTATGTGATACACTGTTACTATGTGATACACTGTGTTACTATGTGATACACTCTGTTACTATGTGATACACTGTGTTACTGGGTGATACACTGTGTTACTATGTGATACACTGTGTTACTGGGTGATACACTGTGTTACTGGGTGATACACTGTGTTACTGTGTGATACACTGTGTTACTATGTGATGCACTGTGTTACTATGTGATACACTGTGTTACTGGGTGATACACTGTGTTACTAAGTGATACACTTTGTTACTGGGTGATACACTGTGAACTACTCTTTATATATTTGGGGTTTTATTGGGGACCTGAGAGATTTGGAATCAGGTTGCTGAAAAGGGATTGTGAGGATTGTACTGTATTTCATGAATATGAACTGACTCAGCAGAAAAATCCTCAGCAAAGGACAGGAAATGTTAAGTTAATGTAACATGGCCTAAACTATGAGGATAGCTGTGTCTATGTAACGATTATAGTGCATTTTAGAGGTTTTGAACAAATGTGCCAAAATATTTGACATGAAAACAGGTCAACTTGTCAAAATAACCAAATACAGTATAAAGTAGAGGTCACAGCAAGGGCCACAACTCTTGATAACACTATAATCCCATACATTAGTATGTGTTCTCATTTATTAAAAGGGGAGAGGGTAAAATGAGCAGAGCTGTCATTAACTTATCATTGATAGTAGAGTTCAGTATATAAAAGGGTCCAACAAAACATTAAGGATACTTATAAATGTAGTTATAACCTTTATATACCCTGGTAGCTCCATTTTCTCAGTCGTCCTCAACTCGGAAGACAAAACTAACTCAAATTGTATTGGATGTTTGTATTTGTAACATGATTTATTTCTGTCATTGTATTGCCAACACCAAAAACTTTCATAAAAATGAGATCCTCAAGTTAGGAACTGCTCCATGATGTAGATGATTGTGACACTAGATGTCTACCTAAAGGTGTCTTTAAGATGGCGAAGTAGCGGTGCTTCTTCTTCTTCCAATAATCTGCATACCACATGTGGCATATTATCACAGGTGAGAATATAAATATTTTGGAGGTTTTACAAATGGTTAAGTACTGTTGGTATGGGGTTTATAGGCAGTCATATGTATGTATAATTGACAGTAAAAGAGATTGCAGACAATAACTATTGTATCACAGTATTTAAGTAAGATTGTACATGTACTCTTCCAGAGCAGTGTGGTACTGTGGATGTATATCAAGCATTATGGAGTTATTTAGGTAGGTACTAATTGTCTAAGTTATAACCCACAGGGACATGCCCAACTCCTGCATTAACCCATATACTACGACCTAGTAAGATAACAGGATATTAATACTTAAATGATTTTCATATTGCAATTTTTTCTCCAAAAATTCTACAATCACTTTTCTGTTTTTTCTTCTTTCAATTGTCCCTTGGATGTGTATGTTATTCATTCTTGACCCGAGTCTTTAAAAAAGTGCAGCTACACATTTCAAGAAAATGTGTAGTCATGGAGACAGGATTATCATTATTATTATTAAAAGAAGATATACATGTGTCAGTATCTATTATAAAAAAAAAATGTTAATTGGAAATTATTGGGAAACAAAATTTTGATTAATCCGTTTTGTATTGGTTGTGATTTTGTAAATCGATTCAAACTGTTTGTCAAAATTTGAGGTTTCTTTAATTATACTGGATAAACATCAATATTGGGTTGTAGACGGGCGGCCTGGCTACTCTACAACATCCTACTGTAAGATTTCCCACTAAAAAGGAAATATAATTAGCGTTGATCCATTGCCGGGTTGAGTTAGCCTGGCTGCCCTGTACCTGAGGAGTGTATTGTGTATGTGTTTTATCTCTATACAGTTTCAATATTATTTGAAGAAACTTAACCAAGGTGCTTATATCATCATCTACCATGTATATTGTTTGTCTTTAGTGTTTTAATCAGGTTTCATATGACTTGAATTGGATGTTTGAAGTACGGGAACAATTTACATCTGTGTAAGTACAATCAGATACATGTAAGACTGCAGATAATCGAATTAGCTAACACACCGACTCGTTAAATTACCAAAGCAGAACATTCTTAGGGAGCTTTTCAATGTACAAATGATCAGAAATTTCATCAATGTAAAAACTATCACAAAATTCATCAATATGAAAACTATTACTATGAGAGCAGGTTCTGTGTAGTAGACACTTGTGTATGTAGTAATACATGGATGTGTGGGTGTATGTTTATGTGTGTGGGTGTGTGTGTATGTAAGTAGTTTGTATTGAGTCTATGTAGGTGTCTTTTCATTATAACTGAACTAAGTGGATGTTAGAGTAAGGGCTTGCTTGTCTCTACACACTGTTAAATTAGTTTGTTTTAAAGTGCGATACAGTGTTTACAATACAGGAACATGTCTGGGAATGCACTGTAATATATACGGTAATCTATTCAGATTGTAATATGATTCAGTGTATCAGTATTTTACCAACACTGTAATACTTTGTATTGTACAATGATACATTGTATCAATACTTTACTACATCATTGGATGAAGCTGTGTATGATGTATGAATTTTTGGTACAATGTACTATTCTAGGATACATTGTTGTATGATACAGTATAAGACTATACTATATAATACTGTATGATACATTGTAAGACTGTACTATATAATACTGTATGATACAGTGTAAGACTATACTTTATAATACTGTATGATACAGTGTAAGACTACTATATAATACTGTATGATACATTGTAAGACTTTACTATATAATACTGTATGATACAGTGTAAGACTGTTTTATATAATACTGTATGATACAGTGTAAGACTGTACTATATAATACTGGATAATACATTGTTAGACTATACTATATAATACTGTATGATACAGTTTAAGACTATACTATATAATACTGTATGATACATTGTAAGACTGTACTATATAACACTGTATGATACAGAGTAAGACTGCACTATATAATACTGTATGATACATTGTAAGACTGTACTATATAATACTGTACGATACAGTGTAAGACTGTACTATATAATACTGGATAATACATTGTTAGACTATACTATATAATACTGTTGATTATATAGTATAGTCTAACAATGTATTATACAGTATTATATAGTACAGTCTTACACTGTATCGTACAGTATTATATAGTACAGTCTTACAATGTATCATACAGTATTATATAGTGCAGTCTTACCCTGTATCATACAGTATTATATAGTACAGTCTTACACTTTATCATACAGTATTATATAGTATAGTCTTAAACTGTATCATACAGTATTATATAGTATAGTCTTACACTGTATCATACAGTATTATATAGTACAGTTTTACACTGTATCATACAGTATTATATAGTACAGTTTTACACTGTATCATACAGTATTATATAGTACAGTTTTACACTGTATCATACAGTATTATATAGTACAGTCTTACAATGTATCATACAGTATTATATAGTATAGTCTTACACTGTATCATACAGTATTATATAATACTGTATGATACAGTGTAAGACTACTATATAATACTGTATGATTCATTGTAAGACTGTACTATATAATACTGTACGATACAGTGTAAGACTGTACTATATAATACTGTATGATACAGTGTAAGACTGTACTATATAATACTGTATAATACATTGTTAGACTATACTATATAATACTGTTGATTATCTATCATGATTACTAATGATAATTAAACAGTTTTCCATCATCGACCATACATCAGAACAATGCTCATTGTTTTCTCACATCAATTATATATATAAATATATATGTATAATGTGCTTTTAATCATGGATTCATGGAATAAACAGATGAAATGGATAACAATGATATTTGGTGTTTTTTTTAAGTCAACTGAATAGGTGACAAAGCCTTTGTAGGTTTTGTTATGTACATCAGGGGTTTATAAAGAAATACACAGTTACACACTAGCCCCTAATAATTGTACACCATCACCCTATGAACTGGCTATTATAGAGTGTATGATTTGTAACATGTAATGGTATTGGGACATCACGCTGTATCTTAAATGATACATTGAATTAATGGTTAAGGATCCCTGTCACACTGGAATGTGGGGGTTTTCGTATATATACATTTTGTACAGTAACTTCCTGATAATTTCGTTTGGACATGACTATGATACAGTTGGGCCAGAACATTTGTGTGTACCATCTAACTCTGTTGGTTAAAGTGATAGTATAACAATCTGAGTGAAGTCCCATTTCTACTTTAAGTTGGTAGAAAATCTTTTTATGAATGACAAAGTTTAAAGTAGTGAGGTGGAGATTTATAGGAAATAGGGGTACCGATAGATTTTAACCCTATTATTTAATTAATCTTAAAATTAGATGTCTGTAATAAACTAGCTGAATCCATGGGTTCCAAAGTACATGTATATTATTTTATATATTTTAGTTTGTATTACATAAATGAGAGCTTAAAAGGAATTGTATTCTGTTGAAATGATGAAGAATAATTACACTGAAGTGGATGTGTTGCAGGCACCAGGAACCATAGAATGATGTATGTTACCCAGCAAGAAAGAATGAATTGCAGTGTATGGATTGCAGCAGACTGTTTAAATATTTCTGTATTTGGAAATGACTTCAAAAAGTATCCAGAAAACACCAGCTAATCAGACAGCAACAGCCCAAACAAATGTGGTCAACTTTTCCTGAGTAACAAATTTGATTTGAGGGACTTTTGTAGAAAATATCCTTGTCAAATTTTCATGAAAATCTGGTAATACCTTAAAAATACCTTAAATACCAATCGGACGGCAGTAGCCTCATCAAATAAGCGTGATCTTAGCTGAGCATTAGATTTGAGAGAAGGATTTGCTTGAATCTCGATCATTTCTTAAAAAAAACAAAAAACATGGAAATCCAAGATAGCCTCTTGATAACTGGTAAACTTGTGGGGACAATTACACTGACAACAGTGAATGAATGGTCGCTATCAAATGTATGTATGTTGCTTTTGCTTTCAGGCAACACAAAAAACTGTACCTATTTCGTGAAAGATATAAGCCACACTGATGAAATATATTTGGTATAACTGAAGACACTGCTAGATATCCCCTACTGCATGTTCTTACCATTGCAAGGGAGATAACTGCTATTTCAGAGGATTTTTTTTTTTTTTAGTGAAAATGATGAATTCCGAGTCAGTTCTTGGAATATTTAAATAAAGTTCAAACAAGCACAAAAGTGGCAAATGAAATTCAGGAGTTACTTCCCTTCAGGGTAAATCCCAAGTGAAACAAACTTCACATTTTCTTGGGATGAAATTGAAAATAAAAAAATTGCGAATAGCATATTGCCAATGAAAGTAAAAAAGAAGTGCATTAGGTTTTGCCTTACAAGTGTCAGCTATAGGGAATTTTCCTTAAGCTCAGCAGTAGAGCATTGGGCTGGAGAGCCAAGGGTCGCGGGTTCGAGCCCCAGCATTTGCACCATCTTAATCACTATTCCTCGTCCTTCTACAAGAGTGTCGAATGAAACTCTTTTCATAAGATTTTTTCACGAAGCCATATATTTTCGGTTTTTCTTTTAACAAAGTATGGTACAATACAGATTGTGTGGTATGAAAGAACTCTTCTATTTGTAAGTTTACATAATCATATCAATTATTGCTCAGAACAACTTTATTGTACTCAGAGGTGGTATTTACACTGACCAAACTTCAGTGTATTGCACACTTTCTGTAATTGTTGCCAGTACACTCAATGTTTCATAAAATTATCTTTAACAACATAAAAAATGTGCACAAACTTATGCTAAAAATGAAGCACTTATTCGACCTCAATTTGAAGGTCACCGTAACCCAATTTTGGCACATAACACACCTTTTGTGGGTGATGCAGTGATACATGTACATCCTATTTCAAACAGATACATGTATCTTGGATGGATAAAGAATTATACCCGACACATGAATTGCATTACAACTGGATGGACCAAACACTTCAAACCATGCTTAATTCATTCAAACGGAAAATGTAATAATCACAAATTCAAAACAATCCAAGTTACCAGGTGTATAAAATACAACAAAGAAGACAAACCCATATATCAATGTTATTCATGTTTATTTGCTCCATGTATGTGCAACAGATATGACACAGGTGGGAAATGATATAAGATATGTACATCTGTGAGGGACACTTGGCTGGTTTGGCAGGTATACTTAAACATCACAGGTAATATTGAACACAGTGGCAGAATAGCCAAGACCAGGGAGGGGGAGGCCAGTCATGTTTACCCCACTTAATACCAGTGGGACAGCCCACACATTCACAGGTATGTCTGTGATGGCCCCATATGCAAATTAAAGTGATTGTCTTTGTCCCACCTGCACTACCTTCTAATGTAGAAGGCGCACATGTTATACTGCATTACAGAACCTTTTCACTCTTCACAAACTCAGTCCAAATCATAAACACAGCTTACAGCTATCCTCAGTTTGGACCGACAACTCATATCCACAGCTTACAGCTATCTTCAGTGTCAGAACAGACAAGTTGGGTAATAAAACAGTAATGATTTCATTTAATTAGTTTTTACTTTGAAATGTGCTTTAGTTGTCTTTTATAACTAAACTGAATTTCATTTTGATAAGTATTTTACTACATGTATATTAAAATTTAAATTGCAAATTCTTCCGATAGATTTCGGTCAAGAAGCACTAATCTAACCAACCTGTCACTCTGGTAACAAGTAGTCGCAGTCTGAAAGTCGCTTGACCTTAGATTTGAACAATGTCACCACACCCTGACAACGAAGATTATGGCGAGGACATAAGGCAAACCATTCTGACTTTTGTTTATATTTAACACAACTTATCATAGCTATACCTTAATGGCAATAACGCTTACTTCTACGCCTCATGGTCATACCTTAATAACACTAATTCACAATGTGGACACGACCTTGGCGTGTGGACACTATTTTTCCTGATAAGATGAATGTTCAGAACAGCTTATTGCAATGAAATGTGGAATGAGACAAAGATATGGTACAGATTCTTACTCCGTACATCAACTTGAAAAATATTTTACAAAATAAAGGAATTACCTGTTAACTGGTGGAGATAATACAATGATACAGGCAAACAATGGTGTAATGATAGTTCATTATTGCCAAAACAAAAACTAAGTAAATATCAAGTTCCTCAAGAAAACTAAAAAAAAATAACGTAAATTTGTCCCTAAAACAATGCAAGTAGAGTACAGCAATAAAGAACAGATTTGTTGGATCAATCTGAAAGCCTAAATAGTTAACTTCCTTTATCAATGAAATAGAGACTGCTAGGGTAGTTTTCCGACTTCCTTTCTCAATGAAATAGAGACTGCTAGGGTCGAGTTTTTCGACTTCCTTTATCAATGAAATAGAGACTGCTAGGGTAGTTTTCCGACTTCCTTTATCAATGAAATAGAGACTGCTAGGGTCGAGTTTTCTGACTTCCTTTATCAATGAAATAGAGACTGCTAGGGTCGAGTTTTCCGACTTCCTTTATCAATGAAATAGAGACTGCTAGGGTCGAGTTTTCCGACTTCCTTTATCAATGAAATAGAGACTGCTAGGGTAGATTTTTCTGACTTGCTAACTTACACAGCTATGTAGTAGAGACTGTTAAGATATTCTATCTTCCTGATAGATTCTTACACCGTCATGTACATGACATTACAGACTTCTACTGTATACAGATAAAGCTATTCAGATCCATCACTGACGAACATTAGAACCCCTTCGAGGACATGACTTGCTATTTCTGACCAAACGTACCTTGTTCAAGTTACATTATACATGTAGGCAACAGAGCTGACATACCGGGTAAATTGATAATGTATGAAATAATGAGGATGCATACATATGAGACTGATAATGCTTTGTTCAAAGTTCTATTTAAGAACTAAAAATTTAAAACTTAAAATGAACACATAACCTAAACAACGAACTAGTTATCAACAATGTAATATAACCAGAGTATGTGATGACTTCAGATCTAGACTGAACAGTAGCTATAGGTGTGACTGTAACATTGACGCTGTACCAGATAACCACACATGCGATGGATTAACCACCAAACAATAACCCTAGGCCTCCATATGAGTAACAAGGGAGCTGTCCCAGCATACAGAAACAGATGACAAACAATATACTAGACCAGGTACATTCAATATTCCTAAAAACTAGTCCTAACATACATATGCAGGTAAATATACTAGTCCTAACATACCTACACAGGTAAATATACTAGTCCTAACATACATATGCAGGTAAATATACTAGTCCTAACATACCTACACAGGTAAATGTACTAGTCCTAACATACCTACACAGGTAAATATACTAGTCCTAACATACCTACACAGGTAAATATACTAGTCCTAGTCCTAATATACTGTAATGTGTATCTGTACAGGTAATTATATATATAACTAGTCCTAAATATATATACCTGTATGGGTAAATATATTAGCCCTTACATATATATATATACCTGTATGTGTAAATATATTAGCCCTAACATATATATATATACCTGTATGTGTAAATATATTAGCCCTAACATATATATACATGTATGGGTAAATATATTAGCCCTAACATATATATATATACCTGTATGTGTAAATATATTAGCCCTAACATACCTGTACAGGTAAATGTACTAGTCCTAACATACCTGTACAGGTAAATGTACTAGTATTAGCCCTAACATTCCTGTACAGGTAAATGTACTAGTATTAGCCCTAACATACCTGTACAGGTAAATGTACTAGTCTTAACATACCTACAATGCTTTACTCGCATAAATACATGCCTACATTAACATTTACTGTTATCTTTATATATCTAGCTCAGTTACAGCTCAAAATTGCTGTTTATCTTTCATGATTTTTGTTTAACTAATTTATGCACATGTCTGCATAATTCTTTTTAACTAAACAAGTACTGATGTAGAATGGTGACTATCATTACATGGTCAGAACAAATTAATTGCCTGGGTGATCACACCCCATTTTGTGTGAATATAGACACAGGAAGTAACATGCTATTCTTGTGACGGATTATGACTTATAACAAAGGAAGCATAGGAATTACACCAAACAAAACAATACAAATATCTGATAATGCTCAAGGAAATACGCACTGCCCATCATTTTAACATAGCCATGCTAAGTTCTCACTTACAAACATTCCACATTCTCCGACACATCCTTCCAACTTTCTCATCGGCGAAAGGTCAGTTTTAGACAACTTAAAAACATCGGGTTCCCAGCCCCCCCCCCCCCCATAAAGCTAAATGTTTCAGAAAATTAAAGCTCCCTGAATTTAGAGTAACAACAAATTAATATCTAATTACCTTTGACCATGAATTATCACATACAAAGACATAAATCTGTTCATATTAATGGGGTATTTTTGGCATTTACTGGAATCTGAAAATATTCAATAGCCACAAAATCGAATTGATTTCTGTATATCTATCAAAATTTTAAACAAGGGAAAGAAACAGTACAGATTATAGAAACATCAAGTAAATAATTGTGTTGTTCCATTTTTTTTGCAACTGGAAATATTCAATTAGCTTCAACTAGAAAAATTCCTAAGGTTTCTTACTCATATATCATTCCTTCTTACAGAAGACTTTCCATAAATCTAATACTATCTAAATACTGAGTCATGCTTTCAATGGAACCATAACGTTTCATTCAAAATAATATCTGAAATTTTATTTCACTTCAATCACTTTCTAATAGTGTCATACATCAGATCCTGATATACACATAACATACATACTGACATCTGACTTCAGGTATTATAGCTACAACAATCAAACTCTCCTTCTGGATGTATACATTTGTTTATGGAGTTTCCATTGAGATACCAACATGATTACTTTATATATGTTTATGACTAAAATTTTAAGGTAAAGGGTACCAATGCATCAGTTATGATGGAGAAGAGTTTTACAGAAAATGAAGCCAACAAAAGTAGTTGTTCTTGCTTAGAGTAACTTCCCCTGCCAAGCTCTGTATCTTTCAATGTTCGTTTTTATTTTCAACGACTTTGTCACCCATAAACTGGACTTATATTTTCATTTATGACTCCTGGACAGTAACAAATGGTAAAGTGTAGGTTTCGCAGGGTAAAGGTCCAAAGTTTGACCCCTACATTTTTTCAGGGTTTTAGTTTATTTCTGTTTTCAAACATTAGAACCAAAACAACTATCATTCTGTAAATGCATCACAACAAGTGATTTTTATGGAATACTTCTTTTGGAAAGGACTTCAAACAAATATTTCACAATAGTAACAGTAGAAATAATGAAGTTCAACTTGTTGCTACCCTTAATTCTCATGATTTTTTTGTCTATTTGAAAACATTCTTGTTCCTTAAATACAAGTATAATATATAAAGAAAGTATCTTGTAGCATGGATATGAATTGCGAAACACCTTTTGGCACAAAATCATATTATGCTAATTAACCAATTTCTATATTTCAACTTGTTGACAGACTTCATACACACAGGGTACACAAACCAGTTTCACAATCATGAGGTCTGGTTATCAGATTAGTTCAGTCTTCAAACTAATTTATCTTTATCAAGAAAATTTGAAATGTATTACATTGTATTTGCAAAAGAAACCAAAAAACATTAGCCTGTCAGCAATTTATCTAACTAGCAAAACACTTAAAAAAATATTATTAAATAGGCAATTGTTCTGATTTGAGTCCAAATCTACATGTAAGTATCTATCATCACAGATTGATTTTGTTTTATAGCTAATCTAGGTTATACAATAATGTAGAAGAGCAGCCAGCAACAATCAACAATCAGGCTGAAACACAATGGAAGAATCAAGCTTGTTCAACAGTATCAAGCCAGCCCCTAGTAATAACAACAGTAATTTGGGACAGAAAACAGTTTGGCAACTCTCTCACTCTTTGGACTTAAAGAGATATGTAATATTTACTTTGGCTATTTTTTTCATGGTATCACCAAAAGAAGTTTATTGAAGTTTCATAGCAAATAATGTAGTCTTTGCTTCCATCCTCCATTTTAATACCACAGAACTTGTATTTTAAGTTGCCTTCAACTTGAGCAGAACATTTTTGTGACAATTAAGAAACAAGGTCAGCTTTAAAAAAAATAAGAAAATCACAGAACATGAACAAACAATTGTGGCAAGACGAGTCAATTTGATCTGTTAATATTTCTACCTGTAAAATAAAATATCTAGTCAATCATAGTATAAATCTGTCCTATTGCATCGAACTACATACTGAATATTTGTATTCTTTAAAAGTCTACTTAAATAAAAAATAAATTAAAAAAACACCTGCATCGATTATAAAACCGTAACTTTTCTATTGTAGAGCTAGCTTGGACAAAAACACAGCCCGTATATTTATCTAACTTCGTTGCGGAGGGGGGGGGGGGTATAATAATTAATTATGTCAATATCATGTCTTTGAAACTAAACAGATAACTGGGACGATAATACCCGATATACATCGGTATATCTCAACACATCTCACATGATGGTGTGATCCGAAGCTGATGAGGAGAGACAGATTTAGGAGTAAAAGTACAATGTACGTTCTCTGAACTTCTAATAATTATCACCATTAACTGAAGTATTACCAATACTTATCCGGCAATAAGCCCATGCTTGGTAATAAGCCCACCAATATATATTGCAGTTAGGAAATAATGCCAACAAAAGCTTTTTCATTGTCCTATAGTAAGCACAACAGATTATGTGTTGGCTTCCTTGGGCTTACTGCAGGATACATACAATAACCAGTCACTGTAATCATAAGTTCTTCACATCATACCAATCACCCACTCAATTAATAGAAGTTTTCTCAGTCTTGTATTTCAACACAACGCCAACATCTTGCCTATTGTTACATATGCCTATCTCGCACACATTTATATGATATCCTGTGGACAAAGCACCAAGAGTAGCACTAAAATGTAGACATCTTATATACACTATTTACACAACAACCTTTAATTTGTAAACTTAAACTCACTGTGGCCAATCACAAAATGTCCGTCAATCAATCTCCAGCTACCATTTTATGGCTGCTAACGTCTTGGTAAAGCTTAAGAGTGGGAATGACGTTATTAAGTCACTTCACAGGGACAATGTAATATGTACATTAAGAAAAATGCACTATTTTAATTTAAAAAACTGATACTGATTTTAAAGTTGGATGATGACATATGTAATTCATACACCTTATGTGGCAAATGAAAACAGGAATATGACCACACTGAACAGTCTTGTATTAAGGGATACGTTAGCATTGTTTTTCACTGTTTCTGTATTTCATTCTCCTTTTTTTAGAATAAAGCTATATAAACTTACTAATCCCCGATTTTAATAAATAGTTTATCAACCAGAAGGGCCAGCAAGATAAAATACTGTATGAAGTTGGGTAACTGTTATAACATTAAAAGATTCTTTCGATTAAAAAGCAATACTGTCTGAAGGAGAGCTCCTATCCTCGCTTCTTAAGCTTGTACAATGCAGCTGTACATTTCATCTAATTCAGTCATGCATAGGGAAATATCACATATCAGATATCGAACAAACGCTTAAACAAAATACTCACTGGACTAAAAAGTGGTATACATACTTGTGTCAAACTCGAGCAGCTTTAAGAAAATAACTTTGAAAATTGAGAACATAAAATATATTTAAAAACTCCTTAAAAAAAGCTCTCCCCAGAAACTCTCTGATTCCAAGGCTAACAACGCATTAAAACATATAACATACAGATCTGGAAAATCTGTGTGACCTCACCCGACATGATCATATATTACTGATGAAAACCAACCAGCCAGCACTTCCAGACTCATCATCAAACAGGTTGGACACAAATTCAATGGATAATATTTCAGTTACCAGGTGATTCTTAATTAAACTTTCATGGAAATATCCTCTATATCTTTTTCCATTGGTAACAGATTTACCAACAAAAGTACCAGTAAAATCATGAGCAATTATATATATGATGGTAATGTTTTGAATGTTACATGATACTGCTATGTGATACAAGTCCTTATAGTGATCATGATGACAGGCCTGGCAGTCTGGTCATACTCATACTAAAAATAAAACATGGTGGTCTGTCACCAGGCACTATAGAGATCAGTGTGAATGACCAGATGGTTGTCATGGACTGTGTTGACCAGAAGTCACTATCTTGTTTCCAGCTTACGAAGCTTGGCTGGACTGCCCCCAGGAGAACCTGTTGACAGAATTCTCTTGGACCGTCGTGTGGGTTCCACAGACTTAGAAGGGCTGGTTGTACACGGACTGAAGTCGGAGAGACTAAGAATTAAATCCTTTTTAGGGTTCATGCCAGAGCTCTTTAAAAGAACTCTTAGTGTTGGCAAACCTAGTGTTTTCTTTGGGGATTCACTTTGTGTGTGGATAGAGACACCAGGTGACTCCGAACGTGAGGCCCTGAGAATACGTCGCTGAGCAGACAAGCTTTCAACACTTGATGGCATATCTCTGACAGGTGAGACTAAGCTGTACCCATTACCATCTTTAGAGCTGCCTGGAGATGGGCAGGAGGAGGGGGATGGAGGCAGAACAATGTCTTGTGCAGGAGAGGATGACTTACTGTTACGTAAGGACATGACTGTTCCTGCTTCCTCCGTTTTACAGGCAGTGAGCAGGCTTTCTAGTTTACACACATTGTCTGTAAATGCTGAGGTTGACCGTGTACGACGAAACTCTGACTGATGTCCAAGTGATGGATGTTTCACTGGGGAGGGAAATCCCTTCACATTGAGTTTGTTTGAACCCGTAGACAACACACCACCACTCTTGGTTGAGGAGGTTGGAGAGGGGTAAATTCTGTGATCGTACTCCGAGCCAGGAGAAGAGAGACAGCTGCACGGTGAGATATCTGGTGATCTCAGCATGGTTGAGGATGCGTAGGGATTTATTTGTAGTGGCATATTGACTGGCAGTGTTGCACTCCTGACAAGTCTAGCCTTACTGTCTGTGTTGGGTGAAGACAATGGGGACAGAGAGGGAGACCGAAACACTGTGTCAGGAATAGGCGGTAAACGCTTTCTCCTACGGCATTCTATACAGCACCCAGACTTCAGCGATTCCTCATCAGATGACATGGAGATGATAGAGAATTCATCATCTGATCTTGACTTGGTGAAGACAGGCAGTTCTACACTGTTGAAAAGTGGCGAGGGATTCTCTGGCAAAACAAATTCCTTATTGGTCTGTTGAGATTTAAGGTTGCATTGTCTGCCCTTCTCACATGTTGGAACATTTTTGTTACCTTTCACAATTGCTGATTTAGGACCAAAGTCCTTGTTACCATACAAAGTACTGTAAGAAGAAATATCAGACAGTAGACACCTGTACAAGGTGAGTTTCTGTTTGGAAGCCTCAGCGTTTACTTGTTCAGACACAACATTTGCTAGAGACAGTGGTGGATTGCTGTGACTGCCGGACCGTCTCTTCAGTCCAAGTAGGTTGTCTATCTCCTTTGACATGAGAAGGGGTTCCTTGGGAAACACTGCCTCCTCTTCCACCACCGCAGACTTGATGCCTTTCAGCTTGTTGTACATGTACCGTGACATCCAATGCCATAAATCATTGTTGTTAAGACGTTCCAAGGACACCTTACACTGTGGCAGACTCTTCAGGAGCATTTGACTTGATTTGTTCAGTCCAGTTTTCACTCGACTATAACGGTCTCTCTTCTGTCGACTACTGAATGTGTACTCGTGTGTAAAATTACCCACATATTTCTTCCTTGCTTTGTATGTCACTGGGAATGTCACAACTCTATGCCTCAGTTTACCGAGTGTGTCATTTTTAACTGGTGTTTTACAGAACTGTTCTGCATTTGGTATAACCAGTAGTCCACTTTCTGTGTGTATATGTTTCTGTATCCTCTGGCCCAGTAAGGACGACAGATCAATGGATAGGAGGGACTTCCCCTTCTGAACTGTCCCACCCTCGCCCTCCTCACAACTCCCACTTGCCACACTCTCGCGATCACTATTGTCCACAGGCTCAGAGTAGCTCAAACGCTTCTTCGATGTAGCTGCACTGTCATCACGACTCAGCTGGGAGATGAGAGACTTAGGAGTGCGTGGTGTAGTTGGAGACATTGGTTCATCAAGGTCAATTTTCTCACAATCTATTTCCTGACTGTATCTGTGTTTTGCACGAATCCTCTCTGCTTTTTTCTGAGGGACTAAGTTGATCAGTCCGATAAACAAATCTTTTGATGGCCGAATATTTTTTTCTGAGAATAATAATTTTGGGGAGGGGCTGATGTGTGGAGGGCCCTGGGGAGACATCATCTGACGTGGAGGTGTACCAACAACCTGAAGGGAGGGCGGTCGCTCCACACACTTCTCCTGGTGTTGTCGCATCTCACTACGGTCCTGGAACTCCTTCTCACAGAAGAAGCAGACATAGATCTCTGCATATGGTCTAGCGTTAGATTTCTTTCCTACAACACGAAATAGGCATTTATTCAGAAAATTTATGAAGCGCAAAACAATTTTAGTGAAAACAATCTGAAGGGAGACAGCGACTTGCAACTGTCAGAAAAAAATCAGCAGTTTGTAATACATGGTGGTATGTTTTAGATAGACTTACACATTTTCTATAAGAATTGTATTAATTCCTAATCTATGCAGCAAAAGATTATCGATAGTGTTAGTAAATTCATTCAAGTGTATATAATGTCTAATCAGGGATAATCCTAGAGGGGGCCTTCAAGGCCCTGGGCCCAAAGAAATTATATTGGCCCCTCCTATTTTATTTTTTTTAATTACACATATAATGGCCACTAATTTTCGATATTGAATGAAAATTGCTGAAAATATCCTATTGCTCTCAGCTTCCAGGATTTTTCTTTGTTTAATTACCTTTCCCTGGTTTAACTCTGGCTGCATGCTGAAGGTATGACTGAAGCACCGGGAAACTTTGCTGAAAAAATAAAATTGATTGAAATATTAAAACATCTCTCAATGTTTTTTATGATCTTATATATGAATGAAAAAGCTGTCAATACAAAATACTTCAAGTTATAATCAAAACATTTATATATGCGTGTTACTGACAACAAGGTCAAATCGGCCAGTACCAATAATTCACCTAGTGGCCAAGTACGTAACAATCCTTTGAATAGACTCGCGTATAAAAGAAGCTAAAATGCTATTAATCAAATTGATTAATTTGACCCAAAATTATAGGACCAGTCAGATTCCTGCTTAAATGTCTGGTTATTGTGATTGATACAGTGAAGCTTAAACAAATAAACTGTGTGTACGAGTCAGATTTCACCTTATATAAAACCTAGGGTCAGGAGCGATATGGATCTTAAATCTAAAATAGACCTTAAACTTTTAGAGTAGGCTAACATGAGGGACGAGGTCTTTGATCATTCATTTTTTTTAATTTTTTTTATATATTTTTTTTTACACATTTGACCTTTGTCACCTTGGAAGTGGGTCAAGATTATTAAATTCAATATAACCCACTTGACAACTCTCCATCCGACAAACTTCAAACTAAATATCAATTATCATGACTCTTAAGCTCAAGGTTCTGTAGATTTAAACACAATTCACCCATGTGACCTTGAAAAAGGGTTAAGTTCATTTATTTTAACAAAGGTAATATACCATGAATCTAAGTTTTTTTTTATCTGTAGTTGTTTGAAGGTTTTTAAACCTCTGGCTCCTGATCTTAGAAGTTCTTCCAGGTAATATAGTTTGCATGGTAGCTTGCATTGATAGCATTCTATTCCAGCAAGCTATCTGGCAAATATGAGGACTCAAGGCCATATTCATGTAAAAGTTTTATACACATTGGACCCCTGTGAATTTGAAAGTCAGTCCTTACTGGTCTCCAGTACATATACAAGTCATTGTCTACTGACCGAGCTGCGTGTTTTAGCCTGTACTTTCGACCGCAGTGAGCTTTCCTGGCCCATGTGTTTGTAACAACTTCTCACCACATTCCGCAGCATTTCTGTCCAGACAGTCTAAAACGGAAAATAATATTTTCTTCAAAAAACAGTAACTTTGTCTCAGTTTTGCCTCCCAAATACTCTTTATTTATTTTTTATTTCATATATACATTCAATTACATAGTTACAAATATATATATATATTGACACAAGCACAAGATAATGTCAGCAATGATAGTCTAAAGGGGATTATAATCTATATCCAATCCAATTATTTTAATCAATATGCTGAATTAAGTCCTGGCACCTTGTAGCATACCCATTTTTAAAAAAATGCTTAAACAATCACAAGAAGGCTCAATGTACTGTGTGTTGGACACAGCTAACATACAACAGGAGCAGTTAGATATGTTCATTCATGAGCAGAACAAAAAGATAATAGGTCAAAGATGTGATAATTGCAAAAAATTCCATAGCATGACAATGTTCCCTTTAAACGTTAAGTTTAAATGGAAATTAACCTCTTGCTGGGTAATGTCTGTCTTGGTGTCACTCCACGGGATGTCAGAAGGCCACCAGTCTGGTTTTGCATCTGTTCCAGCTAAGTCAGCTGCCTTTCCTCGAACCGACGACAAAAGGCAAGGTATAAGGTCACGCAATTGGCTCTGAAACACAACAGAATTGAAAACCATGAATCTCTTAAGTAATTCAGAAACCGTATTAATTTAAGGTGGCAATTCCTATTTTGTCCAAAAAAAAATCACTTCAAATTTTCTTTGTAATCATCTTTGACTACCAAAACAGTTCAGAATGTTGGTAAGCGTTTGTCATTTTATGGAGTGTTTCTCTATTAACATCATGTTACAGTGAAGCTGTACTGTACACTTGATAAATTTGGCAATCAATACCACATACAGAGCTAAGTATACATGAATGGTTAGCAAAGTCAATTCATTACCGGTATTGTCTTTTCAAATAATTTTAACATATTTTGAAGTTAAATCTTTATAATTTCAACACAATTTTTTTGCTTGCATGTTGATAAAATATATGCAACATAATAAGACAGTTTTACAAACCAGGGGCAAAACAATATACACCAATCACATGACACGCAATGGGAAAACTTGCCATAGGAATAAGACAAGAAAGAATTCTCCTTATATTTGCCATATTAATTTGTATAGAGCTTGCCTCCAGTTCCCTTGGCCCATAAGCAAAATCAGCATAAACAAAAACATTTCAAAAATGAACAAATGGCTATAGCCATAACTATGTACATAATTTTGTAAACTTTGGTTACAATAGATGAAATAGCAAGGAAGTCGCAGAATGACAGACTTTGGTAACTTAAATAAAAGGTTGTTTTTGTTGCAAAGAGATAGGGGCCAGAAGCATTTGAATTTCCCTGCATAAATTTAGTAAATTGGGACCATGGGCCTTTGGATGAACCTCGATAAAAATATCAACTCATAAAGTCATATAAACAAATGGGGCATAATATAAGTTAGTCCACATAATATATGTATATATGTAAATATTAGATTGGGGCCAGGGGCCTTTGACATCATTGACCTGTATGTATAAAGGTGAAAAGATTTAATGTATTAAGACACTAATGGGTTCACCAAGACATCCTGAACCAAGGTAACAAGTGCAAGTCACCAAATAATAATCCTCTTACAGAAAGGCAAGAGATCTAGATTACAACAGGCATTTTTGAATTGTAGCTTATTACAAGACAGGATTTGTCCACAAGTGATTTCACCAAAGGTTGAAGATTTAACTTGGGTGGCGTCACTAATTTATACTAAATATTTCTCCAATATCCAACTTCTGTTCCGTAAAATCTTTTTAGTATACAAAATGTTCTAACTTCACCAGAATGATCATAATCAGCCCTTTAGCTTCCATTCCAAAATAAATTGGGGATTTTTTTTTGAAAAGGTCAGTAAGACATAAAAAAAAAACGCTCATAGCTCATCCATTGTACATATACTTGTGTTTATAAACATTGTTCATTACCTGTGAAGAGCTGGAATATGTTTCAGATATTATTGTCTTGTAATTTTATTTATAATCTAGCTACTGTAATATAATAAGTATCTCCACACACTGTTTGAGGAGAGTAGATCAACAAAACATACCTTTGCTTTTGCTAATATGAACGGATTAATATGTGTGCAAGTTCAAAATTTTCAAACACTATGTATTTTTACAAAAAGGTTTCCACAATTATTTTTGTAAACAATATAGCACAAAATTGTACATATACTCGTGTTTATAAACATTGTTCATTACCGGTGCAGAGCTGGAACATGTTTCAGATATTATTGTCTTGTAATTTTATTTATAATCTATAGCTACTGTAATATAATAAGTATCTCCACACACTGTTTGAGCAGAGGAGATTAACAAAACTTACCTTTGCTTTTACTAATGTGAACAGAATAATATGTTTGAGTTGAACATTTCAAACACTCTGAAACTTGATATTAGTGAAGTGTGTATTTTTGTAAACAATATAGCATAAAATTGTACATATACTCGTGTTTATAAATATATAGTTCATTACCTGTGCAGAGCTGGAACATGTTTCAGATAATTATTGTCTTGAAATTTTTAATTTATAATCTACTGTAATATACTAAGTATCTCCACACACTGTTTGAGGAGAGTAGTGCTAATGTGTACAGAATAATATGTGTGAGTTAAAATTTTCAAATTTGAGTGTGGTAAAAAATACAATGGCACTTTCATTAGCATCAGTATTAAGATCTCTACGATCAGTGGGTGACATAATTGAGATTTATTTTTAATTTTTATTATTTTTGATTATATTTTCAAAATGTTATGACCTAGACATATATATAAATATACATACAATGTGCATGACCATCTAGAATCGCCTTTAAATAATGTACATACTGTTCAAAATATTCTATCAAGTATCAGTATTCGTCATACATATATATTAATTAACAAATAAGTAAAAATTCACATTTTTGATATAAAAATAAACTTCCGGATATTCTTGTCCGTACTCTATTCTAATTATTATTGTGTTATAATGTAGTGTCTGATTTCCGGTTAGAGTCACGATGGTGAACAGACTTCGCACAAACGCTATTCGCACTGTTCTTCCAGTCGTTGTAAGTCTTAGACTTGTGATAATAATATTAATAATATTGTATTATATTGACCATATACCTTAATTGAGATTAATTAATCTGTGATATGAAGTGAACGCTATATGGAAGTACATGCACTTGTGGTTATGGAGATGGCCAAACTAGTCTTTTTCTTGTGTAATTAGGTTGTATTCAAATCCCAATTTTAGTATGACTATTTACTTATTCTATTTGCCTTTCTTTTTTCTCTTTTTATGTCTTACCCTTCTTCTATTTTCTATCTCCGCTGCCAGACTAGTTGTTCCAGTCAGTAGGCCTTGCACATGTCCAGGTTAATGGAAGGTATTAAAATATTATCGGCAAATTGTCAGGGATTGGGTGATAAAACCAAGAGAAAGGATGTTTTTTCATATTTAAGGTCTAAAGATTTTAATATCTATTGTATACAAGATACTCATTTTACTGAAGAAATTGAAGGAATAATTAGGACAGAGTGGGGATATGAGTGTTACTTTAACTCTCTGAGGTCAAATTCTAGGGGGGTTGCAATATTATTTAATAATAATTTTGAGGTGAAGGTTTTAAAGGTTAAAAAGGATTTGACTGGGAATTTCATAGCA